ACTAGATTGCCCAAGCGTATATGATATGAAAGATGTAATTCTGTCTGAGGTACAAGGTTAAGTATGTAATTCTATTAGTATGAATACAAAAAAAAAATCCTGTATGTAGTTCTTTCTAACTTCAAAAAGGATTCTAATACTCTCACTACAAGTAACAGTTTAAAAAGTGAAAATGGTACTTTATAACAAGTATAATAACTTTTTTATTTGTATATGCTAGTACTACTTAAATTTATTAAAGTATAAATTGTAGTATTACATTAAGGATAAGGCATATAAACCTAAATATTATTATAGCTATTGCTTTAAGAAAATTGGCCTTTAAATGTATCCTTGTTATGTTTCCCGTGGTGTAAGTAAAAGGGTGCTTTATTATTACTTGTCAGCTATTTTTTTAAAAATTATTCAAGTTCAAATATTTTTATTTATTAAAGACGACAAAATAGTAATAGTGAAAATTATAAAATTTATAAAAAGAAATTACAATATAAAGTCTAAAGCCTTTTAAAATTATGCAAAACCATATCTCATCCTTGTTAGGTACCAATGATGCACTCTGACTAAACTTTGGAAAATTATTAGTAATCTCCATTACTGGAATAGTTAAAAAATTAGCTTTTGGCTTTTATAAATAAACAAATATTTCTATGGATCTAATTATTATAGTAGTCTTAAAAAATATATACATATATTGGCTAACTTACAGTCGTTTTATAAACTTTTGAAAAAAAATTATATAACAGCACCTTATCTTTATTATATAATAATATTGTGAACTTTTTTATTACAAATAATAAACATTTTAAACTTAAAACACATATTTATTATAATTTTACTCTTTTCAATGTTTGAAAAATTAGTTTAAGTAATCAGGACTGGTGTATACTGCAAGTATACATAAGTATACCTTTTAATGAATTGACATAGTATAGGAGGTAATTTTTTAAAAAAAAACTTGATAAGATCGGTTGACGTTTTATTCAATATTTCTATCTAAGGTGGCACATAAACGAACTGATAAAGAATTTGCTTATTTTATAGCTAACGTATATTAAATTTTTAGCTGCAAATACTTAGGGGGTTATCTTCTGTTATGATGAGGTAATGCGTATTTTTAAGGGGTTAGGTGGTGTTTTAGTTTTTGATTATCCTTGTATGCTGTAATATTAACTCATGGGGGTTCGTTTTTCACATTTATTTTTTAAAAGACTAACAAAAGGGGGTGGGCCCCCTATAAAACACTTGTGTGTCAGGAGTGTCTGTGAATTAAGTAAAAAAATGTGATGATATATCTCTGGTTAAATAAGTTTTAGTTCTTGCTAAGGCCCCCCGGTTATTTAATATTATAGAAAATGTTATATACTTTAATAGGCATGGAACAAAACGGGAAAGTAATTTTTAATGAAACTTTTGTAACTTCTTTATTATACATATTAAAGTTTATTAAATTATTATATTTAGGATCTTATAATTAATACATAATATAAATTTAAAGATCGATTAAAGCTAGGAATCGAACAGTTGACTTCTGAAAATCAGAGAACGAAAACTGCTTTGGTATTGTAATAAGTTTTTTCACTTTGATCTTATTTAATTATTTTGTAACCTTATAATAAAAAATATGCGGTCGTAACTTGAACGGAGTCATTTTAGTTTTCCTACTTGATTTCACCTTACTGTGTACAATAACACCGCTGAGCACCCTGTAAGTTTGTTACTCGGTTGTAGATTTCCTTTAAATAAATAAAAAAACTCATATGTATTCCAATTTAAAGGACTTGACGTCGTTTTCTAAGATTGATATCGCTCTATTTATTTAACTCTTTTTGCGGTGCTAGTAAAATCTAACACATTGCTTTAGTCTATTACTTAGTTAACTAACCTTACTTTGATAGAGTTTAACAAAAGTTACTATGTTTAAGGATCATTTCTATTTTTAGTTATTTTTATTGATGTTTATATATTTTACTTATATTAAAATTTTTACATTTTATCATCATTAGGCGGTTAAAAGATTTGTTAGAAGCTTATACGTAAACCTATTTTTACTTATTCAATTTTTTTTTGATAATAGAAATTTTTACTGAAATATTTCTTGTTTATAGCTGAAAGTGTATTTAGTTATATGCGCGAAAATATTTGCAGTTGTTGCAGTATAATATCTATACAAATTCTATTTTTGAACTTTTTAGTTTTATTTGGTATCTAAAATACCAACAGCAGATAAATTCGGGTTTGTTATTCCAGGTAAAGCAAAAATATTTAACTCATTTTCACGAGTTCGTGACATATGTGAACACATAAACACAAACTTTTGCTTATTTAATTGCAAATAGTTAAACAAAATTATAAAGACCGCACTAACTACCAACAGTTTATAAAGCCGAGTTTTATAGGAAGTGCTAGTTACTAAAAAGTTATACTTACAACGATATTCTAACACATTGCTTTTTAGATATGAAATAAACTTTAGAACTTGGAGTAATAAATAGAATAAAAACTAATTTATTCATGTAGGTCGAAAAAGAGGATATTATTATATCGTTAACCCAACAGCTGATGCGTTTTACTAAGCACAACGATCTTCACGGTATACTAAATATAAGTGTAAAAGTTTTAAATATATAAATATAATAGAATACACACTATAAAAGTAGTTGTTCATAATTTGCGGTAAACTTTGAATTTTTTTAAGAACTTGATTATTTATTTTATTAAATTAGGTAGTTTTATTAAAACTAAAGTTACATTTTCAGTCATCAACATTAAACTACTACTATAAAGAAGGAAAGCGAGCTATTTAAAAAATATAAATATTTTTTATTTTAAAAACTTAATGGAACAAGGAATTTAGTAAGTAGCATAGTAGTTTACGAAAAAAAAATATGAAATAAAAGTGGGATGTGTGTGGTTAAGAAAAGTCTACTGATTTAATGATAAAGTTTATAACAGAAAATAAATTATAGAGCAAAACTTTGAATAACTTGATAGGATAACTACACAAAAAAATTAATTAAAATTCTGCGCAATTAAGTAATTTACAAATTTTTTAAGAATTTCAGCTCCAGGATTATGAAAATCAGTTCAAAGAACTGGAGGAGCAAGTTTAATTATATAATATATAATATTCAGTTATTTCTCTGAGCTAATTCTCGGAAGTTTTTATGTTAAATTATTGTTATTTATTTACAAGTTTTAACAAAACTTCTAACTTTATTAAAACAAAGTTGAGAAACCTTCAGGATAAAAACCAAAAACTTGAGGTCGAAATAAGAATCGTTAACTTAGAAAAGGAAGATCTTTGTCAGCAACTTCGTACTAATTTTAATTTTAATTTAATTTTATTTACTATTAAAATACTCTTTACATACAGTTTAATCGTATTTTTTCTGTTTTCAATAAATATTTCCAAGCTATAAAAACGGATACATACTTTTCTAACTAGAACAAAGCTTTCAAAAACTAGAATTACGCGAATTAGATTTGGAAAAACTAAATCTTCTAAGTAGAAGCAGGGAGACACCCGAACTGTACTATTCTGCGGCTGAGGAGCATGAAAGCTACCAAAGAGACGAAGCTATTGGCGGAGAAGTCCTAATTTTTTTATCGTTAAGTTGGTTAAGACTTCCATAGCTATAGTGATATTAACCACTTTTGTTAGCTGTCTTTATATTTGTAATTCGTGTCGTTGTCATAGTAATGGTAACCAGTTTCTTTAATAATCTTAATTTTGTTTGTAAAGGTCAGTAAAAGCTTACTCCCTCTTGATAAATTTTTTAAGATAAAGTGTGCTGGTAGGGTCTATCATTGTTTGCAGTTTTACTTATTGCCTACACAACCTTTAAAGACAGCTTTTTTTTGCAGAAATTTTTTTTTCGAACTTTCTCATTTGGAGAAATGTAGATTTGAGCAGTTAAATTTATAATGCGTTTAAAAACGATTGTAAAAAACAGTGAAAAAGTTTTACTTTCAAATGAAAAGCTAATAGTCGACCCCCTCAAAGATTGGGCACACAGTTTGCGCGGTTAAAGGATATCTCAATGACTGACTGCCGCATATCTGTCCAAAAAAAAAAAGCTACGGGCTCCCTTCTCCCTCCCCTCTCCTTTTACACAGCTTTTTGATTATATATATAATTTTTAGTTTTTTTTATTTCCTATTATTATATAATGGCTTAATCTTAACACTTTAAAGACTATTGATAATCTAACAAAGAGTTACATGGTGGAAGTTGAGGTTTAAGAAAGGTTTACAAATATTTGATTCAAAAAAGTAAAAGTCAAGTTTAAAAAGTGATTTTCTTTCTGAATGTGTAAAAACTTCCTGGGGGAGGGGGGGGGGGGTAGGCTGAGTTATAAAAGTTGTTACAATACACATAGCAATATATAACTAAATTTAGACTAAATGATTAAATTGTATGATATTACTAATGATGTTTTCCTCCATTCAAACTATACTAGAGCAACTTTTTACACATTCATATTATCTATCATTTATAACAAGCTTTTAGTTATTTGTAATCTTAAGTAGATTCTACCAGTTAAGGATGATGTTCTGCCTAATTTACTTTTTCAAGTGAAAACGCTAAAGGATACAATAAAAGAGCTAGGGGTTGAAATAGTTTACAAAATGAGCTAATTCTTATTTTATCCAAAATCTTTATTAGGAGGAGAATTTTCTGCTAAGGGAATCCTTACAAGAAATATCAACTGAAAATAAATCTCTAAAAATTTTAATTTCTGAAAATGCAGAGACTAACAGAACTTTTGATAATGTAGTACTTTAATTAGTCATTACAGTCTTGTAAATATATTTTATAGGTCGTTTGCTTAAGTATATTGAAATATTTGTAGATCTAGTTATTGTGAACTAAATTATAGTATTCCTGAAGAATACGACTGTTACGAAGAAATAGTTACTCTTAATTAGTATTTTTATAAAATATGGATTTTTTGAAAAAACCTGTGAATTGAATAATTTTATATTTAAAGCCTTTTAAAGAATCAGAATCTCTAGCTAAAGAGTTATGGAAAGTTGAAGGAGAGTCGAATACGAAGAGCTCTATAAAATTGAGTGACAAAATTCTATCATTTGAACTTGGGTTTTTTTTATTTTGAAATTATCTAAAAGGAAATTTTTTTTTAACTTCTGAAAGTTTAAAAAGCTAAATTTTTCTTTTAAAATTTTTGAACTTTATAATTTTGTAACTTGCAATTTTGACCAACTTCACTAATCATAACAGAAAAACAGATGAACTTGAAGGAAAAAAAGATGGCGTAGACGTTATTTATAGTAATATGAAAGATGATAAATGTAATAGTTATGAAATTAAACAATTTAAATCATTTTCAGCAACTAATATAGATTCTCCTCAAGAAAACTTTGACAAGTGTTCAACTAAATTTAATTTAAAAGGCAATTCATACAAGGAAAGCGCCTTGATGGAAGATTTTTTTAACCAAGCACTTAGTAAAAATAAACATAACTATCATAATTTGGCCTGGTCCAAAGTATTAAGAGACAAAGGAAAGGCCAAACGGTGGAAAAGTTTTTCATCACGTTTTAATAAAAATAGAATTCTGCGTAAAAAGTTAGAAGGCGAAGCTGTGGACTTTTCCTATGCTGGAAAAATTTCCCAGTTAGATAAAGAAAGTTTTGTTAAAGAGCCTGTAGAACGGAGTGCTGGTCAGCTTTCAAACGCTTTTGTTATAAAGAAAAGATTGTGTACTATTACAAAAGTAGAAAAAACAGATATTACAGATTCTAATTATTATGTTAAGAACGTTGAGTTGAATGCACTCAATACTGACGCCAAAAATGATAAAAATAACTTTTGTGAGCAGTCAGAAAATAGTTTTTCTATACGGACCAAAAATATTTTAAGTGTTGAAAAAATTTCAGTAAATAAAAAAAATATTTCTAAACGTGAAATGTCTTCCAGGAATTTTAGCGTTATAGTGGAAGATATAAAAAAACTGGAAGAGGAAAAAAGTAAGAAGAAAAGTAACAATCAGTTAATAAAGTTAAAACGGCACAACAGTTTGACTTTTGCCAAGAATATGTACGCTAAATCTCAGAAAGTAATAAGCAAAACGACAAATAGTAAGTTAAAAGGAAACACTTTTTTTTTTGATCATTTAAAGAAAAGCCCTGAGGGAGAACGCGTTAATTCATGTTGTAGAAAAAACATGTTTTTTGGTATAAATATATGTAGCGAGAAGATATGTAAAGCTAATAGTAATAATAATAACGTTCTCCAAAAAGATTATACTGAGCCTTTATCGGACTGTAACTACAAATCTTTAACTATAAGTGGAAAAGATTTTATTGAAAAGAAAAAAAAAAAAACAACTATAAATCTACGGTTTATGAGCAGCTTCCGGAAAAACGATAAAAAGAAACAAAATTTTAAGGCAAAAAAGCAAGATGAGCAACAATCTGTGAAAAAGTTAATAAATCTTCAAAGGGATTCCAAGTTTAATGAAGGTCGATACACTAAGAAAGAGGATAATAACTGTGAATTTGCTTTAAAAAAGAAAACTCTACGACTGTTTTTAAGTGGAAAAGTCTTTCAGAAAAAAAGTACTTTTACTGTGCATTATTAAACAAGTGATGCCCTCTACGTATATACTGCAAGGCAAACTTGGGGCTATTAAGCACCGCTTCTTATTTTTTAATCCTGAAATCGGGATCATTGTCTGGTTTTCTGTCAAAAGCGTAGAAAAAGCAAAATTGGGTTTTTGGAGTATTTTATTAGTGTTATTATAAGTTATTTCACTTATTTTTTTAAAGGTTGGTTGTGTAATTACGAAGTACACGAAAAGGAGAACGTATTATACCATGTTTTTTACTTAACTAAAGGTTTCCGGCCTATGCTTATTTACCTGTAATAGCTTTTCTGTCAGTTATCAGCATTTACCATCAGGCAAAATCAAAATTTTCTTTAATGAAAATTCTTCTGTCCAAGACGAGTGGATTAGAGTTATTAATATTCTGCATTAATTTATTTTAACTAAAGTTTGCTAATGATATGTAGGAGCTGAGTTTCTTTGCTTTTGATCTACCCAAATTCCCTATTTGGTTTAAAGGACAGAAAATTATCAATTACCGCCTATAAGTTTGTGTACTAAATTTTTTTGTAATTTTTTTTAAGGAATAAATGTATTTTTACATTTATTTTACTGCTATCATATGAAAAAGGCTAAACTTCAGTAAAACACTTTAAGCTTATCAAACCTTAAACATCCCCCCCCCCCGCCCCCCCCGGGCATTTTCAATTGCCAAGAACAAATATTATTCAGTTATCACTTATAGAGACGGGAGGAGAAAATAATAGTTTTTTTAGCTGCTAAAGCTTTATATATCGCTAATAATTCACAACTTGTAGTTTATAGTATAAATAAAAATGCTAAATAAGAGTTATTAACTAGACATTAATAATGTGTCCATTTACGTGGTCGTTGCAATAATTTCTTTTTAATGAAAGCTCAATATAATCAAAATATGGTAGTTACGAAAACAAAAACATATCGTCTCAACATAAAAGCTGCAGAGTACACGTGTATATAGTATAGCCGTTAGTTAACCCTGAATAAGCATAGCAGCTATGCCCTTGTCCTGATGGTGGTTCCTTAACAGATTTCCACCGCTCTGGGCATGGCATGACTTCGGTCGATGATTTACTCCGTTAAGTAACACTGAGAAAAAAAACTTGTTCTGCACCCCTCAGAAATGAGGAATACTGATAAAGAGCTAAAACCATAGAATAGAACCGAACGTACTAAAGACAGTTAAAAAAAAATCACTGCGCGGTTCACCACTACATAACTGCGTTATAAGAAGAACAGTACAAAAAAAAAGACATTCTTGTAAGGTGGTGCACAATTATTCTGTCTTCTATCGCGCCTTTGTAAGCTGTGTAAGCATTTAGTGACGTTGAAATAAAAAACTTTATCTATGCTTTGAACCAAAAGCTTCTTGGGTAAATTAAAACGGATTAACTACAAGAAACGCTCAGTGAATATCTGGCATATCATTATTATAATAAATAAAAACTTTACTGCTTAATTTTATTTCGTTGATTCCTAAAGATATGAAATAAAGGTTCCACTATAAAAATATTTTCACTATTCCTTTTGCCTTCTTAATTTTTCAACTTTAGCTCACAGCAACCTCATAAAAAAAATGGTTTTAAAAGGCATCGTAATCTATTAATAACTTCGCACTCATTAGTGATACATGTACGTACTTGTTTAATATTACTGCAATTGTTGAAGAGGACCAAATTAAATTGTTACTCAATACTTTTAACACAAAGTAACACATGGAACAGAGTTAGTATTATTTCATAATATGTAAATTTTAATAGTAATTAAGCTGTAAGTAATAGTTATTTAATAGTTTTTGAAAAATCCTTCTAATTTTGTACGCCCTGATAGCTTTTTTTTTCCATATTGTAAAATTCTTATGTTTTGCATACTTAAACTACTAAATTTTAGAAAAAGAGACACTGAAATATACAAAAAACTAAATAATTTACCTTCCTCCTATTTCCAATTATTTTAACTAACAAAAAAAACCAAATGCGATAGTTTTGGTAATACATTATTTTCTTTTCGAACTAAAGCTTATCACGCGTTATTGTACAAGAATATACTTCTTATTTAAAATTTTATTAATCAATTTATACTTTCTAAAAAATTTTCGTTTCAAATAAAATATTAACATTTTTAAAAAAATTATGAATCAAGAATTATTATTCATATTTTAGCAAAAGTTTATTAATTATATTATACTTCTTTAAAAAGTTTCGTTACTAATAATATTAAAATATTTAAATTTATAATAGATAACAATTATTATTTAGATGAAATGATTACAGTATTAAATAACCTCTGATGGCTAAAAACTATTAAAGAAAAATGATAAATAAAAAAGTAGAAGAAAATTTGTGATTTAAACAAAGATATTGAAATCGTCGATATAAAAAAACAAAATAAATAAAAAAAATTAAAAAAATAATGAATTTGCTTAATTATTTTTGTATTTTGTGATATTTTATATGAAATTGTACAATATTTAGTAAACTTCAAGCCCTTAAATTTCTTTAAACTTTTAATGTTGATCTTTAAAAGTTTATTAAGTTAAAACAATAATTATGAAAATTGCTAACAAAAATGTCAGGAAATATATAATTAACTTTAATTGATAAAAAAAATTAAAAATTTATAGTTCAGTATGAAGTCTCAAAGTTTTTACGTTTGCTTTCAACAAGTTTATTAGAAAAATAATTATATAAAAAATAAAAAATCAATTTGTATTATCTATAAAAAGTTAAAATACTATTTAAATAAGAGTTGACTGTAAAAAACCAAAACATTTTTTTTAAAATTCACTATGTAACTAATTTTTTTTTAAAAAAAAAAAATTTATTAGAAATAAAATTATTTTAATCTGATAATACAAGTAATTCATCAAAAAATAAAGTATAAAATTATTTTAGCAAAAAAAAGGAAGACTTGAATGTTACTTTAGTAAATTATTACGTTAAAGCATTCATAAATATAACTTCAACATATATAACAACACATAAATAATAACCACATTGTAACTCAAGATTTTTAAAAATTTGAAACTTTTTTAATAAAAATATTAAAAGAATTATAACTAAAAAAAACTTTATAATATTATTTCAATATAAAACGAATACCCATAAATATTTTTGATAAAAGAAATTTATTTAAGTTAATAATAATTTAGAAAACGTCTTTATATTTCTTGGAAGCTTTATCCTTTTCGCTCTGCTTTTTCTTTCGCTTAATATTCTGCTGAGCCACGTGAGCAGCCACCATATCGCTGAGATCTTCTGGTCTTTCTGCGGCTTCTTGTTCCTAAGAAAAATAGTCGTATATAAATATTACAAAAATAGAAAAAAAATACAAGCATGTCTTTTAATAACAATAATAATATTTAATAGAAGATAATATAGATTAAAAATTAATATATATTAATAATATTTTATTAAAGATAAACTATAATATTTACTTTATTACTGTATAATTTTGAGTTAATAAACTTTTATAAACTTTTATAAAATGTTATTACAGTTTTAAGAGAAAGTTAAAATACAAATAATAATAAAAAAACGTAATATATAAAACTAATTATTATGTTAAAATAATATAAAGTATTTATCATAAATAAATTCTGTTAATAAAAATAATAAATTAATAAAAATATAATAATAAATACTTAAGTAAATTAAGAAAACAAAATATCTTAATATAAATAAAAAACTTCTAATATCAGTATACTTTTATATTATACACAAATGTAAAATGCGTCGATATTATAAAATAAATAGAACAGAATATAATAACAACAGTAGTAGTATAATAAAAACAATAATAATAAAATACTTTTAATTTTTGCTCGTAACGAGCTCGAATAGCCGAATCGTCTTCAAGCTCGGAGGGATCCAAAGCCACTTCCACGCCTTTCGTTTTGCTTTTGCCTGAATAACAGAAAAAAGTTATTATTATTATTGCTTATATAATTATATTATCTACATTTATTATATATCATGTTTATTATATTATATAAAAACTTCATATTCTTATTTTCTATTTCACTTTTAAAATATATATTTTTTATTAAATTCTTTTGCTTTCTTCTCATCCTATGAAGTGTTATTATTTTAAAAGCCTAAAATTATTGTTATCTTGGAATTGTTTGATAAGCGCTCTTTTGGTAATAAAACAATATTGCTTGTTAAAATATTTTTATTTAGAAAAGTAAGGTAATTAATTTTTTTTAATAATAGAACTTGAAAATAAAAAATATAACTATAATATAATGATAATTTATTTATAATAAAAGATATTGTAATATTATTATTGATCCCTTAACCCTATTTAATGTTAGCAAATGTAATTATAATTAGTAATGAGTATTACTTATACATGACAATGGTAGTGTTTATTTGATTATAGTTTTTTATATAAAATTTTGCATAATATTTTTTTTTAAATACTATAAAAGTTGTAATAGTTATATAATATTAATAAAAAATATGTATTTATATATAAAAAGTTATTAATACTTTTTTTTAATGAACATTATTACTAAGCATATAATATTTACTGAAATTATTAAGTTTACTATACGTTAAATTCAAAATATTAATGTTTGTGATATACTACTTCATACATAAATTTTTAAATTTTGGTATAAAGACTTTTCTATTCATAATAAAATTTAATTTTTAAAATAAGAATAACAATAATAATAAAGTTTTACTTGAAGAGAGTTCGTAAGTATAACTGGGAGCCATCACGCCCTTCCTGCTTTCATTTTTCTTCTCAGGAAGAACAGTATAAAGCGGCTGCTGCTCCCTAATATCCATATCCTCTTCTATTTGTTTCTTTTTGCGTAGCTATTATAATAATAAGAATAATAAGGATAACAATAAGAATAAGAATAATAGCAATGACCTCTAAGTGTTCGGGAGTTTCTAAACCCGCAGGAATAGAAGCGATTCCGCTGGGAGTTTCTAATCCGCTATCCGTGCGAGTTCCATCAAGTTCTACTGTATAATAATAATAAAAAAATAGTAAATATATTTATTTTTAAATATAACAAATTTGGTTAACACAACACGATAGCGAAATATATACAATAATAATGAGAAATACTAAATAAAATATAGAAATAATAAACACCTTCTTCACTTTCCTCTTCGCTCGACTCTTCTTCGCTCGACTCTTCAGAAAGTTCTTGAAGACCACCCCAAAAAAAGTGCTTGTCAATATTCGTTTCAGTGTCGATAATTCTTTTACTCTACAATAATAATAATTTAATAATAATAAGAATAAAAATAATAAAGTAAAGTTCATATAAAATTTCGATGGATTTTATAAAAAGAAAGCGATGTAGTAAAATAAGGTACGATATAGGTATATTGCGATCTCCAACTTTATAAATATAATAAATAAATGTGTAAATATTTAAAAAATAATAAAAGTAAAAATTAAAAATTAAATATAATAAGAAAATAATAAAAATAGTAATAAAATTTCATAAAATGTAAAAATCTTGTGTTATTATTAAAATAAATTAAAAAATAATTGAAAGTTACATCCATAAGAAACTTATGTTACTTTTTGAAAAAAAAACATTATAAAAGATAATAAAATATATATAAAAGTCGATAGATGATAATAATAATTCTCTTATGCATTAAAGTAAAAAGCAAACGAAAATAGTAAACGTAAAATAAATATTATAAAAAAAGAAGTAAATATCTAATAATAATATAAAAGAACAAGTGTACTAACTTCAAAATTTTATTAAACCTTTATAGTAACTTTATAAAAATAAATTTTTCTATCGAACGTTCAAAATAATATAATAATATTTGATGCTCGAAAATAACTAATAATGTAAAAAATAATATTTCATAGACATATTAAAAAATATGTATTATCTCTAGTACATAAAATTATAATAAGTAACTAAAATGATATATTTCCGAGGAATATTTAAATTATTAATTAAAAAAAAATTAAATATTATAGTTATAATGTACACTAACAAACTTATATATATAATGCCGTTTAAAAATTAATATTATTTATAGTTATTATTTTTAATTAAAAAAAATTAAACTATAAAATATATAGATTAATACAGCACAAAAAAAAATAGTTATATTAAATAATAAATAAAATATAAATAAAAGTACGTCAGTGCCAAAAACATCGCCGTAAAGAGGGACGCCATGCTGATCGACGGGAGGTTTGCCCCATCCACCCGGATGATACCCGAATTGCGCGCCGGAAGGGATTGGCGCGTTCAGTCCACGAATCCGAAGGTTTGGATAAGACGGCGGCGGCCCAAACCGCTGCATTTGGATTAGCCATGGCGGGGGCAGCAAGTTCCCGTCTGGAGTCTATAAAAATGATGGTAATATAATGAAAAAAAATATCATAAATAATAAACATAAAAATGAAGATAATAAATATAATAATATGTAATAGTATTTAATTTTTGATTACAATTCTATATATTTCATTTTTTTGAGTAATTTTTAAAAATAATTAATTATAAAAAACCATAAATATGATAAAAACTAATTTTTATAGAAAGTATTATTAATAATGAATATAGTATATAGAAGATATTTTATTTAAAACCTTAATATTATAATGGTCACTTTCTCTTAAAACTATATAAAAAGTAGTATAAATAATCAACATAAATACGATTATAATAACAGTATACATTAAAAGTATTATACATTATAAACAATAATATGATCATAATGGTAATAATGTATAAAACGTATTAGATTTTGAACTTTACTTTTTTTAGACACTTTTTTAGTTTAAAATTTTTTTGTTAGATATTAAAATCAATATGATAATAATATTCATAATAGAAACCAAGGGGATTCCCAAAGCAGCTTTCAGCTCGTCGCTCAAGTCGCCCGGCTTTCTTTCTGTTAAACGAGTTTCATATTCCTTCGATTCATAGTAAAGATCGCCGTGAATAGTCATTTTGGGTTTCGTTTGATAGCTTTTATAAAAATATATATACATAAGAAATCAAGGTCAAATCGTCAAATAACAACTAAATATATACAACAAGTATAAAAACAGTACTAAAAAATATATAAATTTAAAATACTATAATAATAAAAATATTATCATAATACTATTTATATAAACATTTATAAAAAAACCGGAAAAACGCGTCGTGCAACTTTTGATAATCAATTTCGATTTTCCCCATTTTGGGTCGGACACGCTCTCTTCCTTTCGCTTTAATACCTTCATTTTCATTGTTATTTAAATGTTATTAAAAAAAATTTTAATTAAGCTATACAAAATTAAAAATAAAATAGAAAAAAACTATAAATACCTCCTTAGGTATATACAATAAAAAATATATTATAAAATAAAGATAATACTAAAAATAATTAAATACAATAAGGAATATTAAACCAAGAGAATTTGCAAAGTATGTAATAAAATAAGCATAATTATTAGCAAAATAATATTTAGTAAAACAGTAATGCAAGCTTATATAGAAGAAAAACACTTTTCTTCTATATAAGTTTTTTCTTATTGTTCCCTTAAAAATAAATAATCACTTATTACTATTTTTCTCTTTGTAATTTAATGTTATTAATAACAATTATCTTTTATAAAAAAATAATACACTTTTCATACTTACTAGTAACTAAAAATGTATAATAATAATATTAAATATAGTACTATTAAGTTTTCCATGTTAATATGCAATACCTCCTTAACTAGTAAATTCGTACTTTAGTTAGTATAAAAAATCATAAGATATAATAATAATAAATAAAACCTTGAGCTTGCTCTTTTTCGAGAAGAGCGGCTCTCATTTCCGCCACCCCGGTGTCTGCTACGTATTGAGGCAACTCGTAAGTAGACTTTTCCAAGCCTCTTTTGCCTGCAGTGAGCAAGTTTTATTTCATTATAATTAGAGTAATAGTAACTATAATAAAAAGTTTAATAGTTATGTAAACTGTGCAATTAATAAATAATAATTCTAAGGTAACTATTATTATTTTATTTTAAGATAATAACAAATATCAACAAAAAAGTAAATATAATAATAGCTTTTAATAGGTAGTTAATAAACAAATATTTTTATAAAAACATATAAATAATTAAAAAAATATAAAAACTTTGAAAAAAGTAATAAGTTAATATATAATAAAAAAGTTAATAAATAAATTAAATAATCCATAAATTATATATATAAATAATAAAAAAGAGAAAGATCCTTTAAGAACTATATAACATTAATAAAATAAATATAATTAACTTCTTTATAAATTATTTAGATTATAAAATTAGTAAAGCTTTGAATTATTTTCGGCACAAAAAAATTACAAGTAAACACAAAATGCTCGACTACAACTAAATAAAATTGTTAAAATAAACCAATGTAGGGGGTCCATTAAAGTCATATAAAAAAGAGTCAATAAGAAAGAGGTAGTTGGTTACCTTGAAGGTACTTGCGCTTTTGGCACCAATGTTGGGGCACAGGAACTGTATTTCGGCAGGATTTTAAGTGAACCAGCATAATTGGGTCTCTTGCATTAACATCCCAACCCTTCCAAAAAAAGTAATTATATTTTATAAAGAAAAAGAGTTTTAATGAAAAAAATAAAAAAAATAATAATAAATATAAATTACTAACTTAATGGAAAAGTATATAAATTGTTAATTATTATAAGTAAACTTAAAAAAATCCAAGTTTAATAACAAATATCTTTTCATTAAAAATATTAATAAAAAAATTCAAGCTTCTTTTGTAGCAAACAAAATATTTTGAAAAAAAAATAATAAAAAAAGCCTTATTTAAAGTTCAATAAAACAATATAAAAATACTCCCACAAAAAAAATTTCACCATTATTATTAAAAACTTACTTTTCTCCAATACAACGCCAACGCTAAATATATTTACATCATGATTGGTTTAGATATAAATATTACTTCTAATAAAATGACAAACATAAAAAAAATGTGAAAACTCGTAAAGCTAAATGGATGACACTTCGCATTACGATAATAATAATAATAATAATAATAATAATAATAATGATAATAGCAATAATAATAATATCTATAATAATTATAATAATAACCTCGACCAAATCTGGGCGGGGAACGTTATTCTTTAGCTCGGCGACACTAGTAGAAACTCAATAATTAATATTACATATCTATAAAAAAGTTTTTCTCTTATAATATATATAAAATGCTTAAATATTTAAGCGATGCCAGTATTATATAATATAAAAATAAAATGATTAAAAGTTAATAAAAAACAATTTTTATAGATTAAAAAAATAAACCCAATAACAATAGATACAAAAATACTAATAAATACCTCAAACGAGTTTCTTTTCTCAACTTTTTCTTGGATAGTTTTGGTTTTCCCTCTTCGTCAAGCCGCTGAATAGTTTCTTCTTCTTCCTCTTTTCGACGCTCGCGTTCTGCTTTTTTCTTTCTTTCCTCTTCCTAAACACAAAATTCATTGAAATGCTTAAAAAAAAAGAGGAAACAAAAACTTTCTAACTAAAAAGAATATTCATTTATCTTCAGAAAAGGAATATTATCCAATAAAAACGTGGCTACGGAAATTGCTATAAACTGAAAAGTTGAACTATTTATAACCCAGTTTATTGGTTACTATTGGTCAACAACACCCATTCGCGCTCAGCTTATTGGAAAACTTTACACCCTGCTGCCAACTACTAATGAAACATGAGATGGTGACTGTCAACAGCCAATCGGATTTAATGTTTACCATCCGTTTCAGAGTTTAAGAATAAAAGATTGGTTACTTAAGAGACTTGTTTACTTCATATATTAATTGTTAATGCCCAATATATGAATAATTCTATAAATAAACAGAAAAACGCTATGAATAATTATAATAATAAATACGTCTTGTATCTCTTTTTCAAGTAATTGATAAGCGCCATCAATAAACTTCATAGTATTGTCGTCCAACTTTACTACATTGGCGCCTTACAAGAGTTTTTCATATTAATATTATAAATAAAACGTGTAATATTAAACTTCAAAGAATAGCTATAAAAGAAAAGTACAATAAATCAAAAATTTAACTTTTACAAATATACTTTCTTATTCAAATTGTCTCATAAGATAAGTTTCAAATAAAATAATTGCTTTGGATATAAATTACCTTTAAACTTTTCAAAAATGCCTTGAAACTCTTGATAAGCAGGATCTAAAGAAATAAAATTATAAAATAAAAGATATAAAACTTTATAAATTTAAACAATCGGTTCTCTTTAATAAAATTGACACCTAAAAAAACACAAGACATAGAAAAAGCAAAAAATTAAGTTATACATAAAGATTAAGACAATAAACATACAACATACGTAAGCCAAAAGATTGCTAAAAATTAAAAGTTGTTTTAATATTATGTATATATAAATCAATAACTAATCTATTACTTAAAGAAATATGTAGTTAGAAATAAATAAAAACTACGCATTTAACTTATTAAGTAAACAACAGGACCGTAAAACACAAAGAAAAGCATTTTAATAATTAATTGACTAAAGTTTTAATATTTATAATTAAATTAATTTAGTTCCTTTTAATAATATATAAAAACATGATTCAAATACTAAATTATATATATATAAAAAAAACAAAAACCTTTAATTTCCGGTGCTTTATCCACTAAAACGATTTCAACTTCGTGGGCTTCCCGCCTAATAGCTTGTTGTTCTTTAGCTTTGTTGTTCTCCAGTTCTTTCCGAAGCTTTTCTTCTTTTTTCTTTTCTTTCCTTTTAATCTTCTGAATCTTTTTCTTTAAAAGTTTTTTCTTAATCTTATCGTTAATATTAGAGCCATTAACGAGTGTGCCAACTTTGTAAATATTTTTAAGTTGTTCCAGAGTTTTAATAAAAACACGTTCTTTGGCTAAGTGAAGATACTGTTCTTCATGTTCTACTTTCTCATCTTGAGGATTCGGAAAAGCATTCTCTTTTGTAACTTTATTTTCATTACTCTCGTTACAACTTTCATTGGCTAAAGGTAGTGGCTTTTCTACTCCAGTGTTTATTAAAGTCCCTTCTTGAGAAAAAGATTGATCGGAACGAAGATTGTAGTTCTTTTTTTCTTTTTTATCAACAGGTGTCTCTTGTAAAGTATTCTGAGTAGTCTTTGAAAAATTCGAAGCCTCCAAGCTCTTTTCATCTTCTTTCGAATTAGAATCTTCAATATAATCTAGTAAACGAGCGCTTAAATCAGCTTTCAACCCTTTCGTTTCTAAGCCAAAACTTTTAAGGTGCTCCTTTAACTGAGGGACTGTCATCTTCTTTACGCTTTTAACACTTGGCGAGTGCATATTTAAAATTAAATTTAATTCTTAATAAATTTGTTAATTAATGATAAAAATTTGTTCTTTTATAAAATTATAAGTTTACTACAAATAAACAATTAAATAACGAAAAGCATTCAATCTTCAACAACTGCTTTAGTGCGGAGCAGTCATTGAAACAATTACTATAATTGACCTTAATTTTGAGTACATTAGTCCAATAAACAATTTCACGTGTTTTGTTACAAAATGAATTGTAGTCCACATTTCTAGCTGGCTAATTTTTGAATGTGGCCATTGCACCCCTAGCCCAAATTTGCTCAACTTTTAACATTTTCTATATATTTCTCACTCAAAACCTCAGATCATGAGGCCTTTTTATTATATTGCCCCGACAACCGTTTATGAGGGGACTATAACTGCAAGCATTCCACCTGAACTGCCAAATCGACCTATATAACCGAGCCCGGAAACTTATACCAACAAGCGCGGACTATGCGTCTCAGGGTCACAGGCGCTATCCAATGCACTTGGCGAAGATGGGGACATCAGATGTGCTAGACGTCGCCGAGGCTCTTCAAAGAACCTCTTCAAGACCTTCAGCTTTACTGAGGACGTTCCACTCTACTTAAGGTAACTGTGTGACATGGCCAATCAGACTGCATGAGGACACGCGGAGTTCAGTACCGCCCTAACCGCCCACCTGATAAGCTGAGGGCCCTTAATTACGTGCGTCGAGCTTCCCGGAGGTAAATTAGCACTTAATAGACTACACCGGCCATCATCACTGTTTTGGGAGACAAAGTTAAGAAATAACTGAAGGCAGGCGACCATGGTCGCGACTCTTTCTTACAGTTTATAAGAAATAAAAGAACCGAGCGCGTTCATCACCGTCTACTCTTCGGGGCGGTATTATATGGCAAAAATGCTGCGGACAAAGTAACACTATTTGCTGATCACCTCGCTACACACTGTGCTCCACCTGCTTATATAGTTACAGATAAAGTGCTAAGTGAACCGCCAATCACTACAGTCAAAATAATGGAGATCACAAGAGCTCTTATTAAGACGTAAGGCACCTGCTGTTGAGGAAAAACCCAGTTCATAAGTATTAACGCGTATTACCATTTTAGGCAATTTTTATGATTATTATTTAGATTATTTCATTGCTTAGTTTTAGTACATAATTAAGTTCACGAAAAATAAACCGGCTGTCGTGTTGATTTTTTTTAGTGCTTTTTTTATTTTAGTCACATCTGTACGTCTCCCTCTATATATATACGTTTGTTTACAATTAATTTTAAGGGCTTAAAGGTTTAAAGACCGACCAGTAAAGGTTTAAATACCCTAACATCTGCCCCGGAGGGTATCACTAACGTAAAGTTAAAGCATACACCAACGGTGGAGATAGAACGGCTATGCTGCTTCGTCCACTCGATAGTGGCCCTTGGAACCTTTCCGTTGCGAAGGAGAACGACAGCTGTTGTTCTGCTCCCGAAGACACTACGACTAAGGTATATGCCAAGCATAATGAGGCCTAATCAACCCCTTGTCGCCCGTGCGCAAAGAAGCTGAAGCGGTAATACTGCGCCGCTACTTTGCCAGAGTTCCGACGCAACCGCTCCTTCACTCACCGGAATGGACGACCCATGCCTTTAAATTTAAAACCAACAGGTGCCGTTAAAAGTTGTTCAGGCAAAAATATAATTTTTTCAATCCCCCATAAAAAGTTAAATAACAATTGCAAAAGTTTATAAATCAAGGAAACTATATAAAAGCTGAATTATAAATAATTCAAGTAGGGTTCAAAAAAAATTATAATTAAATTCATAATTTCCTATAATATTTCACTAACCTAAGATAGTACAAAAAAGTATATAATACATGAAAATCGGTTAATTAACAAAAATATAAAAAGCTGGGCCATAAATATAGTTGTTAGGGTTCTGGTTACGCATTTATAATCATATCGGTAATGGTCACGTGGAGGAAAGATGGAAGCGAATTTAGCTCGTTAACTCAACACGCTCGCACCGCTCCTTTTTTATTTGTGCGCTTCGTTCTTCGCCCTTTAAAACTTCTTGGGTTACTTGTTACTTATTATTATTTTTATATATAGTAGTATTGTAATTTTAGGTCCAAGGTAAAATAAGGATTTTTTTAGTTTATTGCTGTATATTGATTTTGGAAAATGTTAAGTTTATATTTTATAACTTTAGAGCGATACTTTGTTACTTTACTTTTTATATTAAATAAAATAGGTTTGAGTTATTATGGGAAAAACGAAGGGTTATCGTGCTGGTACTCGGGACCTCTTTTCTCGAGATTTTAGGAGACATGGTGCACCTGGGATTTCTACCTATTTAAAAACATATAAAGTCGGGGACTATGTTGACATTAAAGCAAACGCTTCTATACACAAAGGTTGTTGCTAACATCGAAAGTGAATTTTATAATTTTTATATTTTCATATACGCTTAGGGATGCCCCATAAATATTATCATGGTAAAACTGGTGTAGTTTACAATGTTACTCGTAGAGCTGTCGGTGTTATTATAAACAAACGTGTGCGCCACCGAATAATCCGCAAACATATACTTGTACGTATCGAGCACGTAAAGCATTCTAAGTGCAGAGAGGATTTTTTAAAACGAAGAGCTGAAAATGATGCACGAAGAGCAGCAGCCAAGACAAGTAAAAAACGATTGTGCCTGAAACGGCAGCCCAAACAACCCGAAGATGGCCATTTTGTCTCTACTGTTGACAACCAACCTCAGCGTATATACGCGTTGCCTTACGCTGGCTTAGAATAAAAAGTTTCAAAAAAATTCTTTCATAACATATATTATTACTTAAACTGTAAGGGGTATATATATTATTGGTAAAACCGTTATATATAAAAAAGTTTATAAATAATTCGTTACGTAACTTATATGTACATATTTTAACCGATAATAAATTTTTGTAGGTAAAAGTTAAATTGGGATTACCTGTTATTTTTCACGAAGGAATTATATAATATTTTGAAGGCTACTGTTTTTAAGAATAGATTAGATTTCCTTTTTCTTTATAAGTACGTGAATAATTTTTGAGTTTAATGGTACCTTGGTTTAGAAAAGAATTTGGTTTTTCTGATTTTGCATAAAAACTGAGGTTTAAAGTACATTTGCTTTAAACTAGGGATCTATTGTTTCTGGAGCTTAATTATCAATTATATAAAAAAGTTTTAAATTCAATACCGTGCGTCCCTATAAAGTTAACTCCTTGCATATCCCGACTTTTGGCGCGTGTAAACTTTTAGTTACTTTTATGCTACAAGTTAAAAACATTTGATTTTCTAACTTTACAGAGCTTGCAACCTTTATATTTTATAAAGATTTTTCAAATCTATTTTTTTATATTACTGAGCGCTATGCCTGTCGATGTGGGTGTTAATCTTACTAGTTGTTTTACTTCGAAGTTCACAGTGTGCATAGGCAGCTTTTTTAAAGTTACACTATTCAGTATTTATTTTATCTTAGCTACACTCCACAGATGTGCAGCGCTGTGTTACAAATTATTTTAGATTCTTTGGTTTTTAGGCAAGACGCCTCTAGTCGGGGAGCTCATCCTGTCTGCTATGACTGCCTGACTTCTTTAACAAGGTAAAGGAATTGGTTAGTTGATAGTCTTCTTTCTTTAAACTTAGTATTCGTTAGATTACTTTGAATTATTGGAATGCTGTCTATTAATACTTTTAAATTTTTTATGTAATATCACAACTAACAATTATAATATGGCAGAGAAAAAAATATTTATCGATTGTTAATGCTCTTTGGAAATTAGGCAAGCATAAAGAATTTAATTTATTAAATTAAAGATTGTATGTAATTTTTATTCCAAAATTGGTCTTTGCAGTTATTGTATTAAGTGAGAAAGCAAAGTATCATAGGGTTGTTGTGCACAGTAAACTTTCTTTATAGCACACCCCCATATTGTTTATTGCCATAAAGTTTTTCAAAATATGGACATATTTCTGGAAGGCGGATCCACAAGGTCCTGATCGTATAATATATAGTTTCCTGTGTTTAATAAAAACGTTAAAAGAAAGTTTAATACTAGTTAAATGTTTAACAGTAGATTTGGCATTCCAAGAGTTGGATCATATGGGAATTATATTACACTTCTTTAAATAATATACTAATTTACACAAAAGTTGGGCCAATTTTTTCCTGTACACGTACTGTTCAGTTTAAATATATGTGGAAATATTTTAAGATATAATAACTTAAAACGTTCTTGCGCAGTCAGCTAACAGAAGCTATCCTAGTAACGTTTATTTAATTTTTGTCATCTGAAGAAAAAACTGCAAGAATAATAAAATTTTTAATTTTATTAACTTTAACAAACAGTACACTACAGTAACTTCAAGGTTAATCCGTAACTTTGTAACTAAGCCAAAATCCTTTGGTGTCCTAATTAAAAACAACTAATCTAAGATAAGAAACATTTTTTGTCTTTACAGTGAAAGTTTTTATTAAATTTTATTATAATTTAATATATTCCTATAAAAAAATGCTGTAGCACAATACAAATAGAAGAGCTAATTTTTACAGGCTTTGCTGGTTATTGGTTACAGAATTTTTTTATCAACGCAATTCATATTTTGCTTTTTTTTAAAGGTTTCCTTTTTTCGCTTTCATTTTTTTCTTTATTGTTATGAGAGAATTAAAGTCAACTTCTTATAGAAAGGGTAACTTGTTCTCTTTAACTAGTATTTAGCAAATATTTATATAAAAGTTGCTTTATTTCCTCTTGCGTAACTAGTTGCAATAGATTTTTTTAAAGCCTTTTCTTACTACAAATATTGTTTTATATTTGCGGTTTTATTTAGAAGAGCTTGATGAGCTAAAAAGAAATATTTTAAGTGAAAAAAAGGAAAGGCGCAAAGAAACTATTAAAAAGGTTATAAATTTACAAGATTAACTTTCTTCCAATACTTTTATTAATTTAATTATAATTAAGTTAATCGCAGATGCATCAACTGGGCAAGAGGTCGGTTCCCTCTTAACAGGCATTTCTACTTTTTTTAAAAACAATATATATTTTAACTTTCTATAATATTCTAACAGCTATAATAGAAAGTATGAGCCAAGATTTATCGATGGAATATAAAAAATCAGTTTACTTGTTTTTAATACTTTACTTTAAGCAAAATTCTTCTTCTATTTTAAATGCGATGGAATTGTTTTTAAGAGATTCTAAAGATTCTAATCCATATATTCGAGGTGGTTAATTTATTTTTATTAATAATTATTTTCTTTTATATTTTATTTAGTTATTTTTTATTATATATTGCTACTCAATCTTATATTCTATATTTTAGGCGGTTTAGACCAAACTTTATTTATTCTCATCTAAAAGTCTATCTTTTATTTCATTATCTCATGAATTGTATTTCAGAAATATAATTTTCCTCTTTTTCAATTTTTTAATTAATTTAAAATTGTCAATGTTAAACAAGTCCTTTTTATCTTATAAATTGTTTTTTTAGAAAATAAAAACTTTTTATGAAATTATGAATTATGTGGTTTTAATTTTATTATATAATAAGTAAATATTATACCAATTTAATTTTTCTACTTTTCTATACTTAAAATAATTTTAGTTAAAAAATTTCAAGTATAAAAATTATAATAAACTTTAACCTTTTTAAAGCTCTCGCAATTAAAGCTGCTTTTTGCGTATGCTCTCAAGAGATTCCTATGGCTATGCACGAGCGTTTACTTTCCTCTCTTCGAGATGAAGGTCTCAAAAAAAAAATTAATTAAATTAATTTTATTTTTTTAAAATTAGTCTCCTATTATTTTATTTTTAAGTAAAATATTTTTAATAAAATGTACAATTTTAAGCCGGATAATATTATAAAGTTGCTTGGAGAGAGTAAGTTAATTTTAAAATAAAAAATAATTGTGGATTTTATTTAATTTATAAATTTGCTTTAATATGTATATTTGCTATTAGGTAGGGTTACTTTAAACTATAAAGAATCATTATTACAAAAGTTTTACTTTAAATATGATCATAAAAGAAATACTCTAACAAATTACTTCATCTTTTCGTTTACAATTTTAACTTTATTCTAAAGTAAAAAACTAGATTATTTTATAATTGTGATAAATATTTTTAAAAACTATTATTTATATATTTTATCTAAAGATAAGAGTATTTAAAATCTTTGGACACTAAAAAGGTGAATTCTTATTGACTTTTTTAAATTAATTTTTTACAACTTTCTAAATTTAGTAAAAAAAGTTATTTACGTTAAGTTTATAAAAATATTATAACCAAATAAATCTGAATTATAGTAACTTTCATGCACTTTATGAATAACAATTAAGGAATGGAACATAAAATTTTCGGGGCCTTCTTAATTCGTGACTTTACTTTTCATAATTTATAAATTTTTTTTTTAAAAAAATTATTTCAGTGTGCAGTTGGGGTTTAAGTGCACTAACTATTTTTAAATTAAAAATTTTATTTTATAGACATTTTTGGTCTTTTTATGAAAAGTTTTAAACAAAAATTCATATGTAAGTAATGATTTTTTCTGGCTCGATTTACTTAATATAAATCATAAATATAAACTAACATATTATTTTTGGAGATTATAATTTTTAAATTAAAAAAAGATTTGTTAGTTAAAAAGGTTGCTTGAAATTTTCTAATGAGAACTTTTATAGTACCAATTTCTTGTATAATTTCTACAGCATTTTTAAGTACATCAAAATAGTAAATGAATTAACCTTATCGACTAAATTTTATAGATTTGTAGATTTAATTTTAACAACCTGAAAAGATTATATTAATTGCATCTTATTTATTAATAAATTTTGAAATCTCTTTTATACTTTACTATTATTAATAAATTATAAAAATAGTTTATATATATAAAAAAGTTTAATTTACTTAATTTATTTAGTAATCAATAAATTAAATTAATATTTACTAGTCTAATAAATCTTATTTATATATTTTTACATATCTTTATTAGTAATACTTATTATTATTTTTATTAGAAACTGATAAAAAATATTATAAATAATATATTATTTTTTCTTTGTAAATTATTAAAAATGTTTAAATGTTAAAATATATAATAAATATTTGTTGTCTAAAAAAAAATATTATATGTAAGCATTGTTTATAATAAAAATTCTTATAAGTAATATTTATATTGCTTTTAATTTTAAATAAATATAAAGATTCATACTTTCTTCTATCCGTAAATTATTTCAAAATTTACTTTAAATATTATTTTTTAAAATATTTGATATGTATTTTCTTTTATATCCGTTATTCGTCTTTGGGATTAACTGTGTTTATAAAATTATAAATTTCACACATAGCAATTTTGAAATCTATAGAATAATTATTGAATTTTAATTTTTAAAATTTCTGTTTTTTATACAAAAAATTTATCTGCTAATAGGTAACTTAGTAGATTTATACTTTATCTTATTACTAAAAAAAAGTTTTTCTTTATAGAAATATTGAGTTTTATTAGAACACTTTAATAATTTAAATTTAGAAGTTTGATTTTATTTAATTTTATTGGTAGTAACTACTATAAAAGACTTCTTCGCTATAAAATTATATATATTAGTATAAAAGCATTTTCGAGTTCATTAAAAGAAAATGTGTTATGGAGGTCAATATATAATTTTGAATTACTAAATTTAAGATTAAAAAAAAATATTTAAAATTTTATATAGAAAAAAAGTTATTGAGATGTATACAATAAATTAAGTTATTTTGATTCACTAAACTTTTTTTTGTAGACAACTCAAAAAGACTTTGAGTGTACTATAATAATAATGCATGAATGAAAGCTTTTTATAAATTTTATTATTAACATTTTATAAAATAAGTTATTGAGATTTATACAAATTTAATTTTTTAATTGTAAAAAAGATCCGTACGTTAGAAAAACGGCTGCTTTGCTTGTGAACAAACTTTGTAGTGTTCAGCCAGGCTTGCTAGAACGTTTGGAATTTGTTACTGCTTTAAAAAGTTTACTTTCAGATTCAAATCCGATGGTAAAAGTTTAGATTTACTACTAATATAATTATTATTTTTAGTAATATTGTATATATTAAAAGAAATTATAAATTTAAAAATTTTATTGTATATTTTTTTATTTTATTAATGTTATGATATTCAATACTGTAATGTTTTATAAGATTGTTATAAAACATTAAAAAATTATAATAGCAAAGGTAATAATAATTAATTTATATTTATTAGTAGAAAATGTAAATAAACAAATATTTATAAGCGCTTTGAAGTTACATATTAGGAGTTTCGTAGACACTATTCTTATTTTTACTAAAGGTTTTTAAGGTAAACGTAATAGAAATATTACAAAATAGAAAAACATAAAGCTGTACAATAATTAATAAAGTTTGCTGTAATGCGTCAGTGATTGTAGCCGATAGTATTATAAAAAATATATAACAAACCAAATATTATTTTTATTACAGTTCAAAAAAATTATAGCAAAAATTAGCTTGTGATTTTATAAAAAACATAATAAAAAATAATATATCTTTAAACAGAATAAATAATAATTATTGTTACATTATAAATTTAGTTTTTATAATAGAAAAAATTATTTTTATACTTATTTATTTCAATAAAGATAATAAATATATTTTGTAAAAAACGAATTAATATTTTTATTCGTTATGTAAAAAAAGTTTTATATAATTTATTTGTAATATTTATAATAAATAAGAATACAAAAAAGAATTTTCTTAAAAAAAGTTATCTTAATTACATAAAATAATTAAATATGCTTAAAAAAATATGGACGTATAGCTTTCTAAGAATGAAATTTTTTAATTCAATAATTTAATATTAATAATGTTTTTGCACTCGTAAAAGTAATAATAGAAAATATTCATAAAAGGTTGTTGTAAATTCATTGACTGCTCTGGTGAATCTTAAGGAACACACCAAACAAAATCTTCTTGTTTTTGACAGCGGAATTGTACGAAAGTTGCTGATCGTTATGAATGAGTGCACCGAGTATCAATATTATTATTGTTATTATTTTTTTTTGAGAAAAGTACATTATATTTTTATATTAATTATATATAATTATTAAGAAAAATTTTCTATCTGATAATAATTTAATATAAATTTGAATAGTAACTAGTAAATAAAAACACAACGTCCTTTTTAATTATTACTTTTATTTAAAAACTTAGCAAATAAAGAAACATTTTCTGTAATTTTAATAATATATTAAACTAAAACAGAAATTTTATTATTTAGTATAAACTTTTTTTTAATAATTTGGATATTTCTTTGTTAAGGATTAATTATAAATTTAATTGGTCAATTCAAAAATAAAAATTTATTTATGTTCTTAGAAATATTTTCTTTATAAAATTTTTGCGATTTATCGCTCATGTGAATATTAATGTCCTCTTTTTTTGCTTTTTGTTTTCTTTAAAGTAGTTATTATCAGAGTTCACTAGAATTATATTTAAAAAGTTTAAAAAGTGAACCTTTAACGCAGCTAACAAAAATTTTGACTCAAGAAATAAAGTCAGTTTCACTAAGGTGGAATAGTTTTTTTATTGTTGGTTCTCCCTATCTGCACGTGGGCTTTGTGTACCGGTTTTTTACGAATTAAAAATGTATGGCAACTGGTTAACTTTAATTGGAAAAATATTTATATTCATTAAAAAAGCATCTCTTTCGCAAGTATAGTTGATATATTTGTTCTTTTATTGTAGCCTTTTTTTAGCCTGCACTTCATTATTCCCGTTTTTTTTTTCCTTTGAATATTAATATATACATAATGTCACCTTTTTTTTTTAGTTGTTTACGCTTCACTGCTTCTGTAATTTTTTCTACAAAGATATAATAAAGATATATTAATTGTTATTCTAAAGCTTTAATAATTTAAGAATGCCTTAACTCTTTTTCTTCAATATTAATTTTATTAAATTATCTTTTTTAAAACTTCAGAAAAATACAAAGAAATAAAAATTATAATATTTTTTGGCTTTACGTTGTGTTTCTTTTATTCGCTGTTCTTAAGCCTGTAACGACTGTCGAAAGAGTTCATAGGGCCAATGAACTTGTTATATCATGAGTGAAGAGGCAGTTTGGAGCGCTTTAGTCTATTACTTTTTTATTGTAACATTTTTCTTTTTTTTTATATTATTATTCATAATTCTTAGAGATAAAAAAAAAATAGCTGAAGATTATTTTTAATAACTTAACTTTAAAGCATTTTGCTTGTTAAAAATAATATTTTTACCTTTTTTTCAAGTTGTACTCTTTTTATTTTTATATATTATTATTATTTTAAAATTTTAACAAAAAAATTAAAAAAAAATACTAAAATGAAGAAATTGATTATATTTACTTTAATTTAAATTATATTTAATATATAATGTAATAGAAACAATTTTTCTTAAATTTTATATTATAACATGTTTAGTGAAAGTTGAAATGTTTATAATAATATTATTATATAATATTACTTTTTTTATAATTTTTCAAGAGACATATTACAAAAAATATATTTTATAACCTTTACTTGATATATTATTTTTAATAGTTTTTTATTTAAAAAATTATTTAATAAAAAATTTTATCGAACTTATTAAGTAAAAATTGGTTTATACATAATATAATAATATTTTCTAAAAAACTAATAATTTTTTATTTATTCTTTAGTCATTTAACAAACTTTAATTTAAATTATTATTGTAAACTATTAGTTGATTTTAATATTATTAACAAAATTTCTAGAAATTGTTCTATTTACGATTGAAATACCAATAAACAATTCTTAAAAATTATAAATTATTAAAAAATTAAAAAACTTCAAAAACAAATTCACTTAAGAAGTTTTAATTCGTCTCATAATTATAAATAATTACTCTATTATTTTTTTAAAGTCTGTAAAGTGGTAGTTGATTAATAATATGAATACTAATAATAATAAAAGATGGGGACAAATATTTATACTCGACACCGTTTGTTCGTACGAGCCGACGAGTTCTGAGGAGGCGCAATCGATCTGCGAGCGAATTATACATCGTTTGAGCCACTCAAATTGCGCCGTCGTGCTTTCCACCGTGAAAGTATCTTTTATATATATTGTATATATTGTATTCATTTTTTAATTTTGTTTCATATGAATTTTTCTTTCATATACCATTTAATATTTTAATTATCTTTACTTTTTTTACATATAAGCAATTTTCATTTATCTATAACCTTTTACCTTACTGTTATATAGAAATCAGTTTTGTGACTTTTATATATTTTTCTATATTTTTTATGTTATTATATTTGTATATTTTACGTTTCTTTAGTATTTTTTTTTTCCTAAAAGGTTTTGTTAAAAATGTCTAACTATATTGATGATAAAAAAGCTGTAAAGGCTCTTGAAAAAAAACTTGGGCCTTCCCTAAGTACGTTCATTAGTTTATATTAAAAATAATAATAAGGAATGTGAACCATACACATAATATATTTAAATATAAATAAATAAAATTGTAAATAATACCAGTTTCATAAAAGTAGTAGTAAAGTTTACATTCAGATTTTTATTATTAATAAGTGTCTTCTTTATATGTTTATTATTATTTTGATATGTATATTTACTATGAACAGTTACTACGACTTTGACATGTTCAGAAATTCAATTTGTTGTTTTGAAAAATATCAATATTATTTTAAAAAAGAAACCAGAACTTTTGAAAAACGAAATACAAGTCCGTCATATAATCTTTAATATTTACTATTATTATTATCTATAATATTTATTTACTTTAGGCTTTTTTTGTTAAATATAATGACCCTATTTATATTAAACTTGAAAAACTTGATATCATGATACGGTTAGTGTCTGAAGAGAACGTTTCTCAGGTTATTTTAAAAGAAGATATAAATAGTTTTTAATCCAGTCCTTAAGTTTTAAATTTTATTATTACTATTCGATTGTTCTTGTTTTTCTGTTTTATACTTTTTTGTGAGAAGAACCTTTCAAAATTTTTATATTAAAAATTCTGTTTAATATTAATATTTATTTGAAAATGTTAATAAATAATAAAAAAAACTTAAATATATTTTTTTAAACTACTGTAAACGGTTTTAACTTTCCTAAAAATTTTTTAAATATAAATCATAATTTATTGGATAACAGTTATAAAAAAATTATTATGTATATTTAATATACTTAACCGAAAGTTTTTAGGTAATAATAAAAATAATAAAGTAAGTAGTTTTAAACAAATCATAACGGTTTTAAATTTTGTTATAAATTTTTATAAAAGTAACACTTTATAATTTTTCTTATAACAGTTATAAAAAAATTGTGTGTATTTTCATATATACTAAAAAAAGTTTTTAGGTAATAATAAGGGTAATGTATATTGTTTTAACCAATTATAACGGTTTTAAATTTTTTTCAAAATATTTTAATTGTTTGTTATATATACTAAATATTTTAAAAAAAGATTATAGGATAATAATCAAAAATCAATATGAATAGTTTTAAACCAATCATAACGGTTATATTAATCTTTCTTTTTTATTAACTTAATTTATTTTAAAAAAATTTTATATAAGTATTATTATTGCTCTAAAAAGTAATAAGTTGTCGTAAACCAATGATAACTGTTTTAACTCTTTATTATTTTATATTTATACTTTTCCCTACATTCTTATTTATTAGCATACAAAAAATTTTAATTTTTTATCTGTTAACAGGAAATATTTTAATAATATTATTAAACTACTTTTGTTTTTATTTTATTATTTATTTTTTTTATTATAGAAAAATTTTGTTTTATATGTTAAAGACATTTATAGGTTTAAACGTAAAGTTGATATTAATTTCTTAATCCATAATTTTGTAAATCTAGAAGGTTTTGAAAATTATCAATTTTTTTATAACTTATTATTGTATTTATTAAAAGTTAATTTTGTATTACCAAGAAGTTCTCATATTATAAAAATAGTTGATTCAACTTTTTTTTCTTAATATGTAATATTTTTTTATCATTATTGTAGATAATTTTTTTTTTAGAATATTTTTATCGTTCTTAAGGTTATTATTATTTAAATAATATTTCTAAAGCAAACTGATTTTTATTTTATTTTTAGTATTCTTTTTTAATATAATTCTCATTTTAAGAATTATTTTTAGCTCAAAATTTTTTAATAATAAACTTGTTTAGACGATAAAATTTTATTTAAATATTTTTATTTTTCTTAAATGTTTATATAATTATTCATTTGTATTTTATTTTAAGTAATTTTATAATATTTTTATAAAATAATAAATGGTTATAATCTTGTTATAATGGTTTTATATATGTATAATATTATAACCTTATAGATTTCTTTATATCTTATTATAGTAGCATTATTGCTTCTTATCCGATGATATTTATCAGTTATAATCTTTTTATATTATTATAAATATTATAACTTAAATATTTCATCAACATTTATTTATTCCTTTTTATTATATATATTATGTTCAAAGTATTATTTTATAAAAAGTATAATAAGGAAATATCTATTGAAATATATATGTATTTTTAACTTTTATTATTTTATTCGTTTTTATTTATTATAAGCAATTACCCTATTTTAGTTATTATTATAATAATAATTAATAAAAAAGTAGTGAATACTCATTAACCAATAATGTTTTTAAATTGTTTTTAATACTAAAACTTTTACATTCTATTATTTTATAATTTATATAATTTTTCTTAAAATAATTTATTATTATTATTATAAGATTATATTATTCAATAACTTTTATATAGTAAAGCAATTATTTGTAAATTTTTATTAATATTGTATATAAATATATTATAATATTTAATTTTATAACTAAAAGTATTCTTTTTATTTTATATGTTGTTTTATATTTCTTTATTTATTTTGTTATCAAAAAAGTTTATAAAGAAACAGTAATAATAAGAAACCAATAATAACATTTAAATTTCTAATAAACTTATTTCTTTATTGTTATTTATAAGTACTTTTATTTGTTTATTTTATTTACCATCTCTATAAACATAATAAATTTATTATTTTTATTATTATTAATATTTTATTTTTTTTAATTATAACTTTTAACAGTTGATAAAAATATACATAGAAAAAAGTAGTATCTACTTTTATATTTTCGCTATAAAAATAACACTCTCTCCTCTTCTTTATGTTTTTTTTATGACTTTGTTTATTTTTATTATAATTGCAACGAATATGTTATAAAAAATATATATATTTGTAGTTTCATGAATATTTTTTATTTAATTTTTCTTTAATATAAATAGAAATGACCTTTTTATTTTTATATTTTTAATTTTTTTTATTCTGTAATAAATATATATTATATTATAACCTTTTTTATATACTTTATATTTTTTTTACATAATAAATTAGTATAAATAATTTTTATTTACTTATTATACGTTATGTTTTTTTTACTAATATCATTAAGTTTAATAATTATCAATAAATTATTATATCTTTTTTTATTTTATATTATTTTTATCTTTTGTCTACTTTATGATGGTAACAATAGCGCGACAAAGTATTATTCTTACATATATTTCTTATATCCTTACAGCTTTTTATAAACATAATATCATATTGCGCTAATCATTACTGAAATAGAATTTTATTATCTATTTTTTAGTTATTAATTATTAAATATTTTCTTTAATTTTATTATTATTATATATTTTTTTATTATAATTATTGCTGCGATTAAATATAAGGTTCTTACGGAGCTGAAGGAATATTCTACTGAAGTTGATGTGGATTTTTCTAGAAAGTCTATAAGATCCATTGGCCGCTGTGCAATAAAAGTCCAATCAGCAGCGGAAATGTATCATTATCATTATTATTATTATTAGATGAACAACTACTATTATTATATAATAAAAACTTTATTATTACTAAACATAATAAGAAGAAGAAAAAAATAAAGTAAACAGTACTTATATTATGACCGCTCGCGTGAATCCAAAAAGTTTACACAGAAAATAAAGACACATGTGGGTTTATTAAAAATTTCTAGTTACCCGAATGACTAGAGGTTACTAAAATTACTAATCATTGGGCAGTAAATTAGAGAATGAAAACCTGACTTTCTATTAATAAGGAAATATTGTGAATACAGAAACCAAAAATAATAAATATTACAGGCTCTTCACAAATTCGTTTAAAACATTTTATTAGTATTCAGTCTTATAATTAAGTTGATCGGAATATCACGTGATACCACATGTGTATTTATATGTATTATTGACTTTGCAACTGATTTATATTTTTTATAGTTCTATAAAAATACTTGTTGAACTTGTTCGTACGAAAGTTAATTACGTTGTCCAAGAAGCCGTTATTGTGATAAAAGTATTTTGATTATTCAATTAATAATAATAATAATATTATTATTATTATCAGTAACATATTATTATTTGCTTTGAAGGATATTTTTAGGAAGTATCCTGATCATTACGAGTCTGTAATATCGGAACTTTGCGAATGTCTCGATCGACTGGATAACCCAGAAGCTAAAGCGGCAATGATTTGGTAATTATTATTATTCTCACGTTTTAAACATTGTATATTTTTTTAATTTTATAATAACGTTATCTTCTTTATCACCATAATAACCTTCTGTTCAGCTATTATAATTATTGTACTTCTACATTTTTATAGCCTTCGTAAATTGTGTGTGTATTGAGAAGTTCTTGGAAAACTGAACTTTTTGGCTTAAAATTAATATGCAAATAATTAAGAAGTTTAAAAAAAAGTTAAACTAAATTTTTTAACCCAAATTAATGTGACGCAAAACACCAGTAAAAAAATCCCTTTGAACGGGTTACTTTGATTAGTATTTTAGTGCACTACCAAATTTTTGTTATTCTTTTTTTAGATTTTTTTATAATAAACTGTTGAGTATTTTTAACTTTAGATTATAATAATTTTTATGTTTTTTTAAATAGAAAAACTTGTATAAAAATATTCATAAAATTGTTTATTCACTCAAATAATAAATTTTGATACATAATTAAATATAAAAAAACTATTATTGGCTCGTATCACAATACATATTATTATTATAATTATTATATTATTTAATAAAGCTTAATATGCATTACTTATTAATATTATGTGTATAAACGTTGATGATAATAAGGATATAACTTTCTAATGATCCAATGAAGTTCAATATAATTCTTATATATTTCTATTGTACAGTTTATTATTATTACTTTTGATTTCATTATATAAAAGTGAAAAATATTATATTTTAAAAAACAAGTTTATCAATTTTTTTAAGTATTGTAGCAAATTTTGTTTGATATTATTATTATATATTTTTTATTATTAATAGTATTGTTTTATAAATTCATTATACTTTCGCTCTACATTATTTGCATAATTACTTTTTATAAAACTTTTTTATAATAACAAACTAACTTAATTATACCGAAGAAATTTTAGTATATTTATTATTATTATGCGGTTCTTCTTTCAAAATGATATACTAATTAATAGCTATTTTTTATTGGTACACTTCTTTTTTTTTGTATCCAACAACTATTCCTGTTACCTACAAAAGGATTATTGGAGAATATTCCTTGAGGATTGAGAATGCCAGTGAACTGTTAAGCATGTTTTTGGAAAATTTCTTGGATGAAATTGAAACTGTTATTATTTATTATTATTATAATCATCATCATCATTATTATTAACTGTTTGGTTCCTTTTCAGGTTCAACTCACACTCCTCACGGCAGTAGTTAAGTTATTTTTGCGGGAACCTCAAGGCAATATTATTTATAATCACCATCTTTTATTTTTGCTTTACAAATTTTTAAGACCAGTCAAACTTTTTATTGAAACTGCGTGATTAATAAATATGTTTTTTATAGAAGGCAACCAGTCATTGGTTCAGAAAGTTATAAAGTGGACCACTCAGGAATGTGATAATCCGGATTTACGGGAAAGGGGTTAGCTTATTTTATATTCCCTTGTTTTTTTTTTATCATATTCCATATTTTTGAGGATATATTTATAGGCGCCTTCTAAGTTCGGATATAAACATCGCCAAAGTTGCTTGCTTACATTGATATATGTTTATTATTTTCTTCACTTAACTATTATATACGGCATTGTTATAGTTTTTTATTTTCTCCACATATAAATTATATATAATTAGTTTTTTTTAACGCTTAAGTATATATTATATATAATTTTTTTTGTAGAACTTTATATAAAATATATTTATATTTTCCACTCCATACACTTTTACATCTTATATTTTTTAATATATTATAAGAAATAGTAAATAAGTATAGACTTTGTATATTTTTTCTCAGCTTAAGTTATAAATAATAATAACTGAACTTTATTATATTTATATATATATTTAGACTTTTATTATTATTTTATTATATCAACTTTTAAGATTTAAAAAAAACTTTATCATATTTTATTGGGAAAATAAACTTTTTTAACACTTATACCGTTTTTTTATAAACTTTAAGAAATATTATTTATGTACTTTTTATATTTCTTGTAAAAAAAATGTGTTAGTAAACAAAAACTAAACCATGAAAATATTATTTTTTGTTTCATATTAAGGATTTCATAATAATTATATTATTATTATTAGACTGTAGTGCTTTCTCAGAAGCCTCTGATTTCCGATGAAACAGAACTATTGGATCCTTATTTGCTGGATAACCTTCTTGAAAATTTAGGAAAGTTGTCTTCAGTTTATTATAAGGCAGATGCTTATTTTAGCGAAAAGTTATTACTATTATTATTATAATTACTTTAATTATAATAATTATATTATTTTTTTCTAGTCAGTCAGATTTAAAACTAAAGGGGTTTACCACTAAAGAAGTACAAAACTCCTCTTTTGGTTATAATTAACTTTATTTCTTTTTTTTGGAGTTTTTTAATTTTAAAATTTTGTGGGTTAATTTTGGATTAAATAATAATAATAAAACAAATAAATAAAGTTTTTATATAAAAAATATTATCAGAAACAACAAATAAAATAAAAATATTTTTGACAAAACATTTTTAAAAATAGTTTTATAATAGTTATATTAAACTTTCTTTAAAAAAGATGAAACCGCACTCGAAACTTTGCAAGACTTTCCTTTATTAGTCCAATCGGCTAAAGCTGGTACATGTGTTGACCAATAGGAACTATTTAAATATGTCATAAAATAGTGAATATTTATAATATAAATTTTTTTCTTTTTATTTATCTTTTATTGAAAAAGTATATATTTTTTAATATTTTTCTACTGTTAGGCCGTTTCAACTTTGAAGATTCAAGTGTTAAAAGTATTATTTACTTGTTATTATTATTTATTATTATTATTTGCTCTTACTTATTAAAATAGTGGGCAGCTGTAATCCTTTCCATTCAAGTTCTTCTGTATGTTTGATAATAAATAAATGATAATAATAACAAATAATAATAATTGAAGAGAGAATTTTCGGATTTTTTTGAATCTAATAAATCTTCTTCGCGTATTGCTAAAACTACTTTTTTAACTCCTTTTGAAGGTTATTATATTTATTATTGGTATTATAAAAAAAACTTAATAGAAACTCTCAAGTATTTTTATTTTATTAAAAAAACTTTAAAAATATATATAACCTTTAAGGTGTTTAAAACATAAAAATAATAAAAACTTTAAAGTTTTCAATACAAAACTTTACTTAAATATTGTTAGGTTTCATACTTTTTTTAATTTTAATGAAAAAATGTTAAAAGAGTTTTTTAAAGTAACAAAATTCACAAGGAAAAGGACTTGAAATTGGCGGTACGTTTCTAAGAAAAGAGAAGAAAATCTGTTTCGAGCTTTCTTTAATGAACCATTCGTTAACTCCATTGAAGGACTTGGCTATAATTTTTGAGCCCAACAGGTTCTTTATTTGTTACCGTATAATGATATTATAATGAAAGGGATCCTAAATAAATTAATTGTATCAGAACTATTGAAAAGGGTGTAATTGTTTTATTATTATAATAAATATAAAAATTTTGAGGAACTTTGAATAACCAATCTTGGAGCGCTTTTAATTAGTGCTCATAACTTTTTATTTATAAAAATAAAGCTTTGGGCTACATCCAGTCGCACCATTGGATCTTCCTTGTTCTATTGAACCAACAGCATTACTGGAAACATCAATTATACTTGACGTGATTGGCCCTGTTAAACTTATGGTTCAAGTTTTTTTTTTGTATTAAATTTATAGAAGTTTTAATATCTTAAAAAAAAAGTATCAACTTTTTTTTCCTAAAATTAAAATAATGAAAATATTAAAAAAAATCATAAGGAGTTGTAAACAGTAAATAATAATTATCAAAATTTTAATTTTTTATATGAAAAATAATTTACTATTAAATATACTTATTATAAATTTTGTATAGAAAAACTACTTTTAATAGAAAAATAATAACAATAGTAAAAAGTTTATTTAGAATTTTGTATTGATAATCCAATGTTTATAAATGAAAATATTAAATTTTTTTAAAAATTATTATTATAAATATATAGAATAAAAAAAATATCACAAACAAGTATATTATAATTTTTACATGTATATAATTATAAATATTAAATTAGGTAAGTAAAAAAAGATAAGCATGAAAGTATAATAAATAATAATATAAAATAATACTAATAAAAAATATAATCTACAAACTTTATTTAGTTATAAATTATTATGCTTTTTTTTATATTTTAACAAAACTTTAGTGTTTTTTATATTTCATATAAATTATTAAGTATTATAAAGTGAAAATAATAAAAAGTTATAAATAAAGTTTTGGAAAATATGGAATACTCAAAAATAATTATACAAAAGTTTTTTGCGTAATTGTAAAACTAAAATATTTGCATAATAATAAAGGTTTACTCGTTTTTATGAAGAATTCGTATAAAAAATTAAATTTCTATAAGAAAAATAATAAAGTTTTACAAAATATCCATAAAGTTGGTGAGTGGTATTATGAATAATATAAAGGTTTAGTAAATGTTATAAAGTAAATAAAAAAGAAGTTACAAAATTTAATGTACTATAAAAAATAATGTCAATCTTTATTTTTGTTATTGATAATAATTATTTTTTTATATAAAAATGCCAAAATATAAAAATTTATTTATTCCTATAAAAATAACAAACTTAATATTCAGCAACTAAAATAATAAATTTTTAAATAAAACTTTTTATTTTTATTTTTTTAGTAAAATATTAGTGTTAAAAAAGTATTATAAAGTATTTTTAAAAAAAATACTGTAATCTTTAAAAATAAGAAGATTAATAAAAAGTAAAATTATAAGAAATGCAAAAAATTATTTTGAGTTTTAGTTTTAGATTAATAATACTTCTTTAAATAAGTATAATAAAATTTGTATTATAACAAATTCAAATCGTTTGTTTAAATTTTTTCTGTATTTTTAAATAATACTTTTAATTTATATTACATTTCAATTATTTGTGATAATAGAAAACTAATAGTTTTTAAAATAATTAATAAACTTTAAAAAATTTATTATAATGTACCTTAAAAACTCTTATAAAAGGGTTTTATTTATAAATATTACTTTAAAAAATAGATTTTTTTAGTGTTACAATTAATGTAATTTCTGTTTTTATGGAACTTTTATTAAATAAAAAAATATATAAAAAATGAAGCAAAGAATTTCATTTTTTTTCAAAAATTTTTTAAGTTAATAAAAATTATTTAAAAAGCAGTTCATTAAATTTTGTGATTTTACATGACTGAATACTACATTAAACAACTTTAAAAGGAACCAGTTAACGATTTGCAAGTAATCGTGACGAATAACGTTGGCTTATTTCGATTTGATTGTTTGATTCCTGCTTACGTATTATTCGAGGAAAGCGGTACGGTATATATTGTGAAAGTTATAATTATTATTTTTATTGTGGGTTATACATATTATTTTTAAAGTTGTAAATATTAATAAGTTTTTTAATTTTATTTTTTTTAAAGGCGATTTTGGTTATAAATTAAATTTTTTATAAATAAATTGTAAATTTACAGCATAAATAGTTTAGTATTTTATTAAAAATAATAAAACTTTTTCGAGAAAAGCGTCCATGGAAAACTTTAAAAAGAGAGAATATATAGCATAAAAGAAGGGAATTTTAATTAAATATATTAAAAGCCCAAAGAACTACTTCCTGCTAAGTCATGATAAATAGTTTATTTATTATGAAGTAGTTAACTTCTCAGTATTAGTTACTAGAACTTATAGTTATATATATTAATTTCTTAATTTTTTAATTTTATTTATAGTTTACTTTGGAATTTTATTTATTTTACGTAGTAATTAAGCTTTTTGTTATACGTTTGCTTTTTTAGTTGACTTAATTTTGCCATGTCAATAATGAAAAGTACAAAAACTTAATAATAATTAATTTTAAAAACAAAAAAAAAAAATTAATGCGTCCGCTTTACTTTTTACGGCTGGCATTCTTGAAATTTTTAAATTAATGTAATTTTATGCTTTTTATAAAAAAAATTCTGTCAAAATTACTTTCACCTTGAAAATAAGAAATTTCAATTTTTTTTGTATAAACACATTTTATAAAATAATATCGTAAAAAAATTGTAAGACTATTTTGAAGTAGTTAAAAAAAGGATTATAAATCAAAATAGAAAATATATTATTTATAAGCATTGAGCTTAAATAATTTGAGTATTTTACTTCAGACATAAGATATAATAATCTTTCAAATTAATTAATATTATGTAAATTGTATAAAAAAAAAAATTTTAGTTAAAAGTAATTATTTCAGTTTCCAGTGTTCACTAAACAATTTTTTTATATATATATTTTTTAGTTTTATCTAATCACGTATAAATTATGAGATATAAATCGATTTTAGACTAAAAAAAAAGAAAATTTTTTGGTAAAACTTGAAAAATGTACTTTCAAAACTTTTGTAATAAACAATTTTATGAATAAAAAGTGCCGCTCCTTTTTACTTAGTTTAAAAATATCTGCTTAAGATTTTTTATCTTATAAAATACTTGTTTTAAAAAAAATATATTAGAAGTTTTGGAAATTAATTCTACCGAATTCCAAATTAAAATTAATTATTATATGTTTTTAATATAAATGTTTATTTTTAAAAGGAAATTTAGAGCGCGAGGAATTTCTTTCCAGGTGGAAAGATTCGAGCTATGAAGAAATTATTTTCACTATAACTGTTGCACATTCAGAACAAGAGGTAATTAAAATTAATTTATATTACAAAGATCTTTAGTTTATAAAGAAATACAACCATAAATGTAAAGGTACTATAAACACTAGCATAATTTTATATAATTAATTTTTAAAAAAATTGATTTAATTTATAGCATCCTCTTAGAACAATTAAATAATATCAAAAAATTTTTCTTTGATATTAAATAGCTAAAGCGAATTAAAATAACAATAGTAATAATAAAGTCTACATTAAGATTAAATCAGTAAGAATAGGTTGGGAAAATTTTAAACCTAATTATAACTTAAAAAAGTTTTAGTCGTAAAGTAGATTTAAAGGAGTATAATTTGCTGTTATAAAAAGTTAATTATATTTACCTACTGAATTTAAAAAAGTAACTGTTTAAATTTCTAATATAAAAAAACACTAAAGTATTTACTTTGGTGTTTAGGTTATAACACTTAATTCATAATAAAGTTTTGTTATAAGCTTTAAACATTATTATGAACAAAGCAGAATTAAAGAAATTTCGAAATTTATCTTATTGATAGTTAAGAAATTTATTCTTGTTAGCAATAAAGTGGTTTTTTAAAAGCTGTATAAAATAAGTTATTCAGAAGGAATAGATAATTGAGTTAGTTAAGAAGCATAACAGTTGCATTACAATCAAAGTTAAGGAAAACTTTAATTAATAAAGAATAAAAACTTATACGGTTAGAAATTATGGCCTCTCTTTACCTATAAATATATTTTATTTGATTAATCAAAATTAGGAAATAAATCTTATGTTGGCTATACAATATTGTTAATATGAAAAAAGAAAAGTTTAGCTGTTTTATTCACAATAATTTAAATTAAAAAAGTTATACAGCCACTGAGAAGTAAATACATAGAAGCTATTTTTTATGGAATTTAAAAAAATTGTTGAGAAAAATAAAATTTAAATACAAAGCTACTTTAGTTAAAAATTGAATAATTTCCAAAATAACACTGTTTTGCTTCTAAATATATGAACAAAAGCGCTACACTAAATAAAAAACTATTATAGACAATATTACAAGTAACAAAAGATATTAAAAATCTTTCATATAAAAAGAAAGCTAAAAAAATTATACAATCCATGCTAATAAAATATAAGAACTGACTCTTTAATTGTATATTTAATTAAAAAATAAAAGAGTCGAGAAATTTCTATAACTTATATAAACTCAAACATTTTTTTACAATAGATCTCGGAAAAACTTTCTGAAAATAATATTTTTATTGTCGCTAAGCGGCTTATACAAGGACGCCATGTTTGGTTTACTTCGATTCAACTTTCAAGTCATACGTTTTTAATTGAATTTGGACTACTGGAACAAGAAATGAACATTGTTATAAAAACAAAGACGCCTCAATTTTTTCCTATAATTAAAGATTCCATTGTTTTAATTTTGCATTGAGCGTAGATATAATAAATTTATCTCAGAATCTTTACTATTGTGTGCTTAGACTTCTTAGAAGTCTTAAAATTATTGAATATGCTGTTTATTTTCACACATTACTTTATTTAAGAAAAAACTTTAAACGAGCAGCCTAGTAAATACCTTAAAAGTAAAAAAAGAATCCTTTTAACTAAAACCGCTCGTTATTGTTCTATAAAAAGTTGAAACAATAAAAAATTAAATAATATATAAATTCTAACTTTAAAACAACAATATGAAGGTGCGGTTGAAAAAAGGATTTTTTTAGGTAAGTAAGGGGCCTCTTCGTGTAATCGATAAATATGTTTCACCAAATATACCAAAACATTTTGGATATTTTATATTTCATTATCTTATTTTTCCTACTTAACTTAAGGTTAGCTCAGTCTTAGCGTAAGCAAATTAAGGTAGTGGTTAATATATTAATTTAAATCGAAAGTAACAATTATATAAAAAAATACTTAAGTGAACTAAAAAATAATAAGTAAAAGAGCCTGGTCCTCCGCAATAATTATTTTAATAAGTTTAAACCTTTTTAGAGAGCATCTAACACTACTGCTTGTAACGAATAAAAAGTAAGAAAGAAAAAGAAGGGAAGTATATAGATTAGTTTGTGTTTGAACTCTCAGAACATTAAAATCTCTTGACACCTACAACACAAGAAAACCGCACTTCCGGGCTGCTAACGAACCTGTCTTTTTAGAAAAAAAAAAAGTTCTCAAATGATAAGGAATGTTTATAGCGACCACGTTCAGTAGATCTTGAAATACTGAATACGAAAAAGGTGCTGAAGAGTTTGTATGGCGGACACAAGTTTTTTTTAGCGTGGAGTACTTTTTCAGTTAAAAAAAAATCTTTTGCACTTCTTCAAAGTTTGTATATTTCTTTAGGTAGTACCTCATCTAAAAGGATGGACAGTGAATAAAGCGTTACCCTTTGCTTTTCATTACCGTAGTAAATAATTTTAATGTCTATCTTATTTTACGAAGTCGTTTATGTAACTAAGTAATAAACAAGGATAACATTTGCAAGTTAACCTATTATTCAAATAAGGATCATTAATGAAACTGGTCCATTATAAAAAGCGCTTGCTTTAAAAGTGTGAAAAAACATTTTATTTAATAGAGTCATTGAAAATACAAGGACTTTGACAGAGTGAATTGTTACTTAAAGGTAAAGAACTGTTAAAAGGTTTATAAGAGCCAATAAAATTGGAAATAAAGGTTCTTCCGTAATAGTTCGTTCCGAATGTTTCAAAGAAAAAGGAACATTTATTTAAAGGATAAGTAACGCTGGTCGTCAATCACTGTATAGAGCAAGTTTTATTCATACGATAATGCTCAATTTTCGCCTTTTTGTTTTCAAACACTTTAGCTTTGAGCGATCCCAAAGAAAAGGCAGTGCACTCCTTTGTAAATACGGTATAACTATTTCCCAAAGCTATAAAGCAAATTTCATCACTATGAAGACACACGCTTAAATTGGCTGAAGCTTGATTAAAAGAAATACAACTTAGCAAGATAGCGACAAACCTTGTAATTCATACTAAAAAAATTAACCAAAAAAAGATACCTTTAATAAGGTTAAAAAAGGAGAAATACTAAAAAAAAAAGCCTTTTACTAGTTGGTTACTTGTCGGCCAATGAGTTTCCTTGTTTTAGTAATTTTTTAAACTTAAAATTACAAAATTAATTTTTCGTATCCAATACTCTGCCTTGCTATGGCCAATTTATATTTGGCAATTTTTAATTTTATATTTGTTTCTGTGTTTCGTATGGGCTTAAATTTTTGTTTTATCATACCTAAACGTTATGTGGTTGTTTATAGTTAGTGATCAGTAGTTTTCTAAGGATGCGTTGGTTGTTTCCGATGAGACTACTTTTTAGTCTTATATCTGCGATGTTGTTAGAGGACGGGGTACATAAACCTTACAGTTTGAGTTTTTCAGTTGTTCTTTAGCGTAGTGGTGGTTATATCCACGAGTCCTCTTGTTAGGAGCACCGCCTTTAACTATGTTGCACGCTAATTCGTTGTCGGTGAAAATGGAAATATTTGTTTTCTATTGAGGATATATTTCCTTTATAAGTTTACTAATGCTTTAACAGCTTTAATGCTCTTGCTCAATGCTACGTATTCAGATTCGCACCTCGATCTGTGTATTTTGCACTGTCGACATTGGATTCCATGAAACTAAGTTATAATTCACCGCAATGAGAATCCCCCACGGTAGGACGTTTATCGTAGCTATTAGCCCATGAAGAATCCGAATAACATCTTATTTCTAAGAGGGTTGTCCTTATTATTTCCTTTTTGTATATTAAGGAGTAGTCCGTTGGGTTGGCAGGTAGGCGAGTACACGCCGGGCTAATTTGAGATGTAGTGCGTCATTATTATGTAGAAATCTGCCTGATTGCGAAGTTAAAAATCATTATATCCGGACGGATGTTAACTGCTATGTAGCGTGAGCTCCCGATTAAGCTAGCATATTCTCTACTTGTGTGGTTTGTTAATGGAGATTCCAGTTTAATTGAACTTTGCGGGAATATCTTTATTTTAATATCAGCAATGTTGTTTCGTAGCTTTCGCATTATTTTAAGGTTAGGTTTTTTTGATTAATAGAGATTCCTCCGTTTTTCTGTTCAATGCCAACGCCTAAACTCCTTTCAACGCAATTAGTAGTTACTACTTCATAGTCTTTTTTAAGCTTATCATGATGTGTCTGTCGTTGCCAATGATAAGACAGTCATCCAAATAAATTCCTAGCTTCTTTTTTCGCTCTTATCCCTTTAAACATCTGCGATGGAGCAGTGAAGTGTCTACTAACAATGGTGGTTGTTTTTGCTGTTGGTTTTTGTGCATGGGTTACTTGTCTGCTGCGACTAATTTGCTTTTAATTTGCCGTTTACTGTCTTCCTCCCCATCATTTTGTATTTTATTTGGGGTCATAGTATTTGTTGTTTGATTTATATTCTTTGTTCTTTTCTCGTTGTTCCACCTCATAGCTGCCTTCTTTTCCTAGTTTGTTTCTGCGTTGCAGGCTGATTTAATTGATAACGCAAGTGCCATTATGTGTTTCTAGTTTTGGTTCTTGTTCTTTCATAGTATCGTCTCTGCTGTATTATAGAGGGTATATATGTTCAAAGAATACTATGTTCCTTGATTTTTTTAATAATCTTTTTTGTCTTTAGGTTCAGGCTCTATATTTTTTCATCTTCTGTGCTAAAGGTAGGTATGGAGAACATAATACCTGTAATTATACGGTTCTTGGGATTTGGTTGTGTTCTGGATTATGGACTAAAACCTTTCATCCACGGGGATTATAGTGTTTACATTATGTCTCTCTTTGATTCCAAATATTTGGTTGGGAGTTAGGTTTTCACCTTTGTGGGGAAAGCTGTTTGTTTTAAAAACTAAATTTTTCATTGCTTCATCCCAGTAAAGACTCCTGCATTGCTTGTTTGAGGATGTTCTAGTCTTGTTGCTTGCCAATTTGGTTAAGGCGTTGATGAAACTCTGTGCCGTTATCGACTCTTATCTCTTCAATAAGCGCTGACTTTTGCTTGTTGTTGAGATGTCTAATTCAAGTTATACCTCTTGTGCGCAGTGAATAAATCGATTATTTTTTTGATGCCTATTTTGCTCTTTGGTGCTCGTAAATTTGTATATTTTCTTGGATTTGGCATCTGTTATGATTGCCACATTTTTTGTTGCCTAATATGGATTTCTTGTCCCATTGTAGGGCGCCCAAGTATGTATTCCGCCCAGGTCTCTTTGGTTTTGAGCCTCGTTGTGATTGTTTCTATTTCTTCTTTTTTAGTTTTGTAGAAACACATATTTCGCATTCTTTGTTATTAAATGGTCTGAAGTTGGGTATTACGTGTTTCAACTCTCAGTAATTTGCATGACCGTACAGGTAGTGTTCAGGAGGAATCGCACTGTTATTCTTTACATCGCAATGTTTAGAGTTTGTCTTAAGTGAGGAATTATTGTTTGATGTTTCGACCACGTAAAGGTCATTTTTCATCCCTCTAATGGTGTCTCCGTTAGTTGTTACCATTCGGTTATTAAAGTGGTTGTATATTCGCTTTCATCTAGTTCGCAACGGAGATATTATGTTCAACTAATTTGTCATAAAGAGCCTTTCCAGTATCTAATGTAATTAATCTTTCCGACTTTCTTGTGCAATTTTCTCCTTTTATTGTACTTATTATATTGTACTTGTCCTTAATTTCACTTAATAACTCTTTATCTCTGATGATATGCGGATAGGCGGTTGTGCCGATTAACATTGAGAGGGAACGATTAGCCTCATCAATTCGAATATTGTTGAGTTGCGGGGTGAATGTGGTTCTCAGTCTTCAGCGTTTCCTTAGTTTCTTTAGGGCAATTGTTTTGAAGTATGCTTTCACACGTGTTGTTAAAGTTGGCCTCCCTTCTTTTATTTTTGCAGGCCCGTACAAGATGCCTTAATTTACGGCAATAGGTGCACTGTGAATTTTGGTGCTTGCAGTACTGGTAATTGTGCATTTCATGGCATCTATAGCATTTGTATGCTGTTTTATGTGCTCTATTTTCAGGTAATATGCACGTTGTGATGCTTTGTGTTTGCAATGTTGGAGATCATGATTACCTTTGCACCTGTAGAAGTTAGTGTTAAGTGGGCTTTTTATTGTTAGGTTGGTTGCTAGTGTATTCCCAAAGTTCCCTTTTTATTAGATGGTCGCCGCGCAGAGTGTGTCTATTTTCAGCGTGTAATAGTGGATTTAGCGCGTATTCATAGTCTATTTTTTCACGCTTATTTGTATAATATTGTTCAAGAGAGATTGTGTAATATTTGAATCCTCACCGGTTCTATATATTAAGGCGATTATTTTGAGTACGTCCGTAAACTCTGGAAGGTGGGGGCCAACTTTTAAAGAGTGCATTTTCCTGCACCTCAGCGAGGTGGTCCAACCTGTTAGCATATTCTTAAATTCTTTTATTCTTATTTTTAAGTGCGTTTGAATAGCTCTTCCAGCTTGCTCATAATTATTGACTAATGATTTCTTTCCAAACACGGCCTGTACCGTTTGAATAACAAAAACCGGGTTTTGTACTGTCAAAAAATACTTGTATCCTTGATTTGATATTTTTATTATGGCCACTTGTTACTATCCTTATACCGGTAGCTGATTTTTTTAGTATCTCGTTCTTATATATGGGGTCCTCCCCTACGGGATCATCTTTGAAGAATATGTCATAACTCCCCTCTTCCGTGAGAATTGGTTTAATGTCAGCCAACTGCATAAACAGAGAGGACTATTCGAGCAAAAATTCATTAAACCTACACATGGATATGAATTCCTTTTGCTATGTGCTAGTTGGAATTATATAAAGAATATAAGCATGAATAAGTTTGTAATGCGAGTAATGACTTTAGGAATAGAGTGTGTTAACGTTTCATTTGTCACGCCGGTAATCTTACACAGTATCGCAACTTTCAATATTAATTTATATCAGAAACTTTTGTAGTAGTATTTCGTGTGCATGGGCATAAGTTTTTAAAACCGCTTTAGGACAATTATAATTACGGAAGTACACTTCAAAGCTGCTGCTATCTTTTAGTTAGAGTTAAGCAAGTTGATTAATCCCTCAGATTTTCTACATGCGCAGTTTGGTGTAATAGAAAAAGTTTTAACCATTTAATTATCTGAGCAAATAAAAGATATTCATTTTAAAGTCTCTAATAGTAAATAGTGAACAATGATTAAGTTTTCGGTAAGTTAACCCACGTTGCTTTATGATAAGCTCAGAATAAGGCTTTGGAGGTCACTTAAATTATAATGAAGCCTTCCAATTAGTACTCTTGTAAAACACCTGCCCACTACCCCCAAGTTAGAATCTCGTTATTGTTAGGCCTGGATATATATATATATCCATTAATGACTTTTGCGGATGCTCGATAAGTCGAGCGCAGACCGGTTAGTCATTATTTAAGCGCGAATAGGTGCCCGTATTCCATTTCCCATAGAGAACACGTGGTTAGCCACCCGCCGCAGTACTAAAAAGTTCCTAGAGATTTGACTTCTCAGATCAGACATGTTGAAGTGCTTTTCACCACTGCACTCCCTTCATGAGACCTTAATATGGTTTGCTGTCCCTCGTAAAGTGGGTATCCACTTTTTTGGCGTAGTGTTGATTCATAAAATCTTCGACAACTGGTATATTATAGGCGGTAAAGTAATATAATTTATATAATATAAAGCATATTATAGGCAATAAAGTGATATAATATAAGAAAGTCGAAGTACTAAAAGGCCCTGTAAGTTTATTTGATTATTATGGATTCCCAAGAGAACCAAACCGAATGCATAACACAGAAAGGGAAAAACTGCAGCGAGTGTGCGAGCCAAATTTATATTGAAACATGTGCATGCCCTCGAATGTTACCAAATTGTAAATACGTGAAAATTCTAACAATTAGAGTGCACGTGCATTTTTTTAGTAATAAAATTGCTTATTACATTTCAGGCAGTTCATTTCCGATAGTATTTTTAAAACATATTTCGCAGGACAACTTAATGCCTCCATCAGCGAAGTAAAGAATGGATAAGCTCCTTCAAATAGTTATTAGTACAACCTTAGTTGAGTTTCTCCCGCAGGTTTGGGCAAAGAACATCTTTTAGTATTTTTATAATATTTTTGGTAAGCAGAACTTTAATTAATAGAAAATGTAATTTCTTTAATTAACTGTATTTTTTTTTCTAGTAGTTTCCACATATTAATTTTTTCTTTCTTCTTCACGGAACAAACTTTTTAGTTATGATTTTGAGCGCAAAGCACCCACTTGGGTAGGAAGATGCTAGTACTTCCTTTTGCTCATACTACTGGCCCCAAGAATCCATAGATTAAGCCTACTATATTTTCTTTAGGGTTTCGCTGAAACGTTATATAATCTATGTATTAAAGCCAGGAACCTAAACAATCTTATCAAAGTAAAAAGGAATAATAATACTTACGTGTGGGCAGTATTTCAAAAAAATAGTTTTTAATAGCCTTGAAAAAAGAAAAGACTTCAAAGTTGAGAATGATTTATAACTCATATTTTATTGAGACGAAAATTGGTTTAGTTGAAGCTTTTCTTTTTATACGAACAGAGACATAAAGTACAAAAAACTCGTTTTCTAAAATAAGGGGTTTATTAACAAAGGATAGTTTGTATTTTCCAAAATTACGAATTTATAGTAATTTTAAATATCAAAGCACAACTGCAGTGTAAATCAAGGTCAAAATGTCTCTGAAGAAGGGAACAGTAGACTCGTATAGTTTGTAGTAAGGTGTGTCAGTTTGCTGATAGTCCACTAAAAGAAAGCGTTGTGAACTGGAAAAAGTATTTTTTCATTATAACAATTTAATTCTCAGTACTTGGACTTTAGCATAAAATATAATACTTGAACAGAAAATTATTTATTTGAATTTCTTGCTAGCGCTCACTTTTAAAAAATAGTTATGAGGGATAAAATGCAAACCCTTTTCGAGAACTTAAGTTTGGCTTGCTATTAAACTTTACTGTGTCGCGTTAATTGTGCTTCGCAAACTCACTCTTTTATTTATTTATAATTAGAAATGCCGAATGTATATAAGCAGGTTGATCAGTTTACCATCGAGTAAGTGTAATTTTTTTTTTAAAAAGAAGTTTATTATTTATGTGCAACTTGCGGCTGAAATAGAATTAGCAAGTGGGAGGATGAACTTCAACTCATCCTTCTACGGAATTACTCTCCTAACGATTTTCTAAATAACTTCCCCCTTTTTGTGGACTACATTTTTAGCGCTAGTGAACGTTTTTGGTTAAATTTACTAGTGAATTGTTAAATTCTCTATAACAAAGTCAACTGAAGTATATCAAACAGTTTTCTCACTCAAGATGGCACTAACAGAATTTTAAACATACTGGGCAGTGATGGGCTTTTATTTGGCTTATTTTCCATATTATATCCGGTATATATAAATAGTGTCATTTATACTTTAACAAAAACTTTTAATATGGTCAAACAATTCCCTTAATAGCTTTCCTTTGAACTCACATACGAATTTCCTTTAAGCAAATTGCCTCCAAACATTAACTTTCTAATTAAAGTTTTATTTTCCTAATTTTTTTTAAACATATATTTATTGTTAATAATACAATTTAAAGTCTAGAAATATAAGCTCCCTTCCTTCTTTTTTTCAAAAAAAAATCACATCCAAGTTTACGTCTACTTCACATCAGCGTTTTACTAATGCCATCTCCCAAGATCGTGTTTTAGGCGTTTATCTAAATTTAGTGGAATACTATTTTTTTGCATTCTTCTATTATTTAACTTCTTTGGTGAGCCATCTAAAGCAGTCAGTAGAGGTAATCAATTTTTTTTCGTGATTTTTATTGTTTACATTATAAATGTATATTGTTAATAAATCTTACAGATAGAATAATAATAAAAAATTTCGTTCTCTTTTTATAATAATAAAATAAATATTCGCAGTAAAGAAATATTTATAAGTATCATTAATATTTTTTGTGTTAAAAACTTTTTTAATTTTTACAACTAATAGTTATAATAAATTTTTCTTGAGTCATTAACTTGTATGAAATTAGTTTTCCGAGGATGTTTGTATGGCTCTTCTAGTGCAATATCTTCAATTCTTTTTTCCTGATACTTCTCCAGTAAACTGCTTTGTGGTCCACCCACTTGACAATAGCTTCCCTTCTTTTTCTTTTAGGATCTTGAACGAGCTAACAACCAAACAACCGCGGTATTGTGTACAACCGAACTTCGAGACGCCTTTTTATTTGCTGTTGTTGAGTACTTTTTAGCCCGCCAAAAACTACAATCGTTGCCGTTAGTTTTATTATTATTAATAAATAATTTTATTACTATTATTATTAGTTTCTTCAGCTATATTTAATATTTTAATAATAAAAGTTATTTATAATTTTTGTATATTTATTGTCTCTCCTACTGAATATTATATTAGAATATTCACAATAAAAAAAATTTATACTTTTTTTGCACTTTTAATGTTTTCGTTTACAAAGTTTTATTTATAATAACAACTAGTATACAAAGTTATGGATAATATATATATTATATACTTAATTTTTTTAAAATTAAAAAAGTAAAAAAAAATACTAGGAGGCCTTTAATAACATATATTAGTAATGAAATATCTAAAAAATTAATAAACGTAATAAAGCCGAAGTATGCAAGTTTTTTATACCTATTGTGTATAGTTTCATAATATATGAAAAAATATTATAAAGTTTTTTTTATTTAAAAATAAACAGAAGGTATTATTAAAAAATAAAAAATAATACAAAATAAAAACTTTATTTAGACTGTTTAACTAAGTAAAATAAATAATAATAAATATTTTATTAATATAATGAATAAACTTTTACTTCTGTTACTTTATTATATACAATATTTTTAATATATTTTCTATTTATGTAGAAAACTTTTACCTTTATTACTTATTATTTATAAACTTTTACAATATATTTTTTACTTACTATTGTAAATAATTACTTACTTTTTTAAGTAGTAAACTTAAACTGTATTTTTATTTGTAAAAAAAGTATTACAGCTTCTCTTTTTAAATAATGAAAAATATGAATCTTATTTTTTGAAACTGTAAAATATAATTTTTTACTGCATTTCATGAAGTGCTCTTTAAAAATAAAAGTATTGTATTTATTTTTTTTGGCCAATCACAGAAGTAATTAAGTCAAAGCACTGACTATTGGATAAACGCTGCATTACATAATATTTTTCCATGTAATTTTGTTTTCTCTCCTTCAATTATAGAAAAAATTACCACTTCATTAGTATAATTTTATTGTTAACAAAAATTTATATTTTTTATAGTATTTATGTATTCTAATGAATAATTATAGCATAATGAAAGCTTATTAGCTCATATTTTAAAGGGATAGATGGTTTTCATTGCTTTGATTAATATTTTTTAGCTTATGTATTTTTTAATGAATAATTTTAGCGTAACGAAAATGTATTGGCTCTTTCTAGCGGTTTTTTTTAAACAAATATATAAATGGGAGTAGCCGTTGTGGTTTTGCACTAAGGAAAAACTTGATTAAAAATAAAAGTTTACTTTAATATTTTTTGAGTTATTATTATCATATATACGAAATTTTTTATAAGAAGCATTTCTTAATAAAACTTTTATAAATTTTTTTGTACTTTTGAACTTTTTTATTAGTGGATAATAAGTCAAGTTTTTTTCTAATATAATGCTTACGTGACTTTTACTTTTTTATATAAAAACTTTTTTGTTCCGTAGCAGCATATACCTTAAGGCATATCCAATAAGAATGACTAGTTTCTTAAATTAAGCGAATCATCTTAAGCGCCGCTAAAAAGGAGTCGCTTGCACGGCGAGAAGTGCATTTTTTAAGACTGAAGACCACGTGCCTTAAGCACACAAATAAGCCTTTTTTATTGGCTAATACAATTTTTTATTAAAGAAATTTTTTGTAGGCGAGTCATTTCTTTTTTCTATGCAACTTTTTACATAAATAAAAGTTTTAATATAACGTTATTCTTCTGTTTTTATTACTTTATTTACTTTTAAAACTGTAGACCAACTCCAGTCGGACAACTTTTTGCTTTAATTCTAATTACTCGCAAGTTAAATAATTATTTTAAAAATCGGTTGTTGTTCTATTGTTTATTATTATAATTTCTATTAATATTATTATTATAATAAAGGCTGAATGAAAGGGGAAAACTTGGGGAGCTCAATAATATTTCTCAGGAAGAAATACAAAATTTAGTGTACAATCAAAATAAAGAAGACAAGCAAGAAAAGTAGAAAATATTAAAAATTTTATAATTATATTTTGATTTAGTTATAATTTTTTTAATAGTTATAGTACAATAATAATTAAAAGAAATAAAATTTATAATAATAAATAAGAAATATATATATTATATTTAATAAATATTAATGAAAACTTATAAAAATAAAAATCTTACAACTAGAAATAAGGAAAATGTAGAAGTGAAGGTAAAAAATAGTTTAATGTTATAATACTTACAATTATGAAAAAAGAAATAAAATTTTATAGGCAAAAAGTGAAGAAATGTTATTAAAAGTTTTTGGTTTATGTTAAATTTTGATATCTAAAGTTATGTTAAACTAAAAATTAAAAAAATAATAAAAGTAATAAAAGTATAAAAATAAATTATTAAAGTTTTTGTTATATTATTTTTTTATAAATATTTTTAATTGCAATATTAAATAATAAGACCAGGAAATTTTTTACATAACAAGTTTAGTATTATATAAGCTGTAACCTATGAAAAACAAACTTTTTAATAAAAAAATTTGTACTATTAATAGTATAAAAAAATTATTGAACAAAAAAATAAATATAACAAAAGTTCTTAATATTATTTATTTTATTTTATAAATATTGTGAGTTTGATATAAAAATAATAATTTATGAAGAGTTATGTCATACATGAAAAGTTTTAATATTATAAAATTTGCACATTTAAAGTTGTGTCAACAAATTATCTATAAAAGTTTTAATTAATAAAAGTTTTCTAAATAAAATATTAAAGCTTTTTCCCTTATAAATACTCTAAGTTCAAAGAAAATAGAGAAATACTTTTTATACAAAAAATAAATTATAGTATTAAAAGTTTCATAAATTATTGTATTAAAGCTAAAAAAACCAATTATGTAAGTTTTTTATTATTATTTAACTTATTCTAACAATGATTTAAAAAATATATTTTTGGCCATTTCATAATTTTTACTTTTTTTATTAATTTTTTCATCAAATTAAAAATATAATATATAATTGTATTTTTCAAATAAACTTTTTAAAATTCCTTTTTATTTAGATTTTCTTAACATAATTTGTCATAAATTTCATTTTTTTACTTTAAAGTATTTATAAATGAAAAAAAAATTATTTTTCTTCAATATTTTAAAAAGTAATTAAGTAATATTTATGATTGTATTTTTATTAATAACTTTTTATAATATTTCAAGCACATATTTATATTTCATATTTATTTCTTATTTTTAGTACAATTTATAAATCTTATAAATGAGCAAATAATATTTATGCGCACCTTCAAGTAAAATTTTTTTCATAGATCAGTTATTTAATATTTATTTATTAATTACATATTTTTTTGACTTTCAAGTTATTTTTAACAAATATTTCTTCTACATAAAAACTATTATATTATTATATTTCTTTATTACTTTCTTTACTATTATTTTAAAATAATATTTTTATGAAAGTTTTTTTGAATATCACAATTAAGTTTTATAATTTATTATCTAAATTTATCTTTTTATTTATATTTTTTACTTTTTGGCCAAACTTATGGTAACCTTTTACTTGTTTATAATAATATCTTTATAAAAGTTTTTAGATAATAATAATGAAGTTTTATATTTTATAAATCATTTTATATATCTGTTGCTTTTAATTATTACTGTTAATATATTATTTTTTTTCGTACTTTTTAACGAAACTTATCATAACTTTCTACTTTTTACTATTATTTTTATATAAAAATATTTTTATTTTAGAAGTAGCTTTTTACTTACTATTATTATCATAACTAAATCTATATTTGCTATAATTATTTTATTAATGTTACTTTCATGTTTAAAAAATTTTAAAGCTCTAAATAAAAAAAGTTATTCACTAAAAATATTGTTCTTACTCACAAAATTTGCGGTACTTTTTTACTATACTTTGAAAACTATTATATTTTTAATAATTTTTATGAATAATATTTTAAAAAACATCTTTAATACTTTATTTATTTATATTCTTTTTTTAAAATTATTTTATTGCTTTTATATTATTTTTAGTAAAAAATAAATATAAAAATTAATTTTAACTTGAATAATTTTAGTATAATTTTTTATTGGTTAACATTATTTCCATGCTCTAAACTTATTGACTGCTAAAATCATTAAAAAAAATATATATTTTTTTATTGGTCTTTAATTTTGCCTTTTTAGTTTTAATAAATTTTTTTTCAAAAGAATATCTTTAACTATTGGAAGGCGCACGTGTTCTTTGTTGGGGTTTCCTTCGCATAAAAAAAGTTGGTTTAGTTTTTATAAATCAATTTTTTTTCCATTATTATTATTTTTTATATTTATTTTTATATAAAATTTATCTTCTTTTTCCTGTTTTTATTATTTACATCAATAAAATTTTATATATAAAAAATTAATTTTTTTATTTAAATACCAATAATATTGTTTTCTTATATTTTACTTAAAAATATTTTTATAAATTTTTAATATTGTTTTGTAAATATAAATAAATTTAATTATTATTAATATTTATTTATATATTTATCTTTTAGTGTTATTATTTTGATATATTTGAACTACAGAAAAAAGAGTTTTCTTATTATATATAAATAATTTAATACTTTTAACTTTTCACTACCGTTATAAAGTTTTTTGACTTTTATAATATAAATTTAAATTTTTTGTGAATTCAACTTTTTATCATTTTTATAATTTATTAATAACAATAAACTTTTATAATTTATTTCTTCTTATGAGGTTTTTTCAAAAATATATTTTAAATATATATTATCTAAAGTTCTATGGTTTTATTATTTATTATTTATTATAACTTTTTATATATTTTTTTAACTTAATAAAAAAAATAGTTTTTGAATGATTATTTAATATAATAATCGTTTTTTAATATTTATTATATTTAATTATTTATTGTACTCTAATAATTTTTATATTATTAGAAATTTAATTTTTTTAATATTTTATTTTATATATATAAAAATTTATATATTTATTTTTATTCCTTATATTAATTGCTATAATTTTATAATAATTATATGTTTTTACCTTTTATATACTTAAGTTTTATTGGTTTAATAAATATTAATAAAAGTTTTTTAATTAATTATTATAAACTTTAAAAAATATATTTTGTGTTATTACATTATTTATATTTTTATATTTATTTATTTTATAACTTTTTAATTTAATATTTTGTTAGTTTATATTATAATTTTTTTATTTTTATTTAGTTTTAACTCTAGATAATAAAAAATTTTTTTAAACAATAATAAACTTAAAAAAACATGTTTCTTCTTTCTTATGCTAAATTTTTTCTTAAATTTTTTTATATATTTTAACTTTTTTTTATTTTTTATTTTTAATTTAAATATATAGTAATAAACTTTAAACTTTTTATATAAAAATATTGTCATTTATATTTCTATAGTAATAAATATTTATTTTTCATATCAATAGATTTTATTTATTTATTATATATTATAACTTGTCTATATTTTGTTTCAATTTTTTTTTATTTATAACATTTTTTTACTTTTTAAAAATTTTTTTTATTAAAAAGTTTTTTAAATAATTATTTAATATTAATATAATTTAAAAAAGTTTTATTTTTATTGATTTATATTTTTTTAATTATATTTATAATTTTAATTATATATTTCAACTTTATTTTTTATTTCTAATAGTAAATAATTATTTATATTTTTATATTTATTATATACATTTTCGTTTTTCTTTAGAATTTGTCGTATTCATATTATTAATTTAATATCTGGATTTTTTTATTTAACTTTATTATTGAATAAAAAAATATATTTTCTTTCTTTGAATATTTTTATACTTTTTTTTGTTATCATTATTATTTTTTATTTTTTTAAAAATATTCTTTTTTTTATTTAATATTTTCTAATGTATTCTTCTTTACTTTTTTAATTTTTGTATATTATGAAACTTCTAATTATAATTATTTTTTTATAATCATTAAAGGTAATTTTTAATTATAAATTATTTTAATATTTTTGGTTTTAGTTTTACTTATTACTATTTATTTTTCTAATAATACACTTTTTTATCATTAAATATATTTTTTAATTTACTTTTCTTCACTTTGTATTATTGTTTTATAAGATTAAACTTTTTTTATATTCATTTTTATATTAGTTTTGTAGAAATTTTTTTTTTGTATTTAATAATAAAACGCTTAATTTTATTTATTTTATTAATATTTTTAATAAATTTTATTTTTATTATTATATATTAATTTTTTTTAATAGTTAAAAACTTTTTGTTGCTTATTTTATATTATAAAATACTAAATATTTTTTTTATTATATTCCCTATTATTATTGTTTTTTGTAAATGAAATATTGCAACTATTTATTTATTATTTATTCTTTATAGTATTTATAATAGTAATATTTATTTATTTGCTTATGACTTTTTTTAAACTTTTCCATAATTCTATTTATATATAAATATATTTCATTTTTAATATAAATCTTTATAGTAATGAACTTTATTAGTAGTAATATTTTATTAACTTTAAATACTTTTTATAGCAAACCTTTTATTTTAAATATAATTTTTTACTTATTACTATTATAAATTTTTTATAGTAATGCACTTTATGTATATTATCGTTATTAACTTTTTAAGGTATTTCTTTTTATATAGCAAACTTTTTTCTTTCTAATATTTTTTTAAATAATTTATTAGTACTCATGTATTTTTTATATAATAATATTTATTTATATTGTTAATTTTTTATTTATATAAATAAACTTTTTATGCTTTTTTATGGTAATTGTAAACTTCTATATTTATTTAAAAAAATCTTGCTTACTATTATTTTAAATTAATTTTTTATATATAAATATAGGGAAGTATTAAATTTTATTAGATTTTTTTTACTATATTTTTTGTATTTTTTATATATTTACTTAATATTATGAGCTTTTTATAAATAAAT